AGTAGGTCTGTGTCTTTATTCCTGTCTTACCCCTAGGTTCTTCATGACATTTTTTTTTCTTAAATTCCATATATATGTGTTAGCATACGGTATTTGTCTTTCTCTTTCTGACTTATTTCACTCTGTATGACAGACTCTAGGTCTATCCACCTCATTACAAATAGCTCAGTTTCGTTTCTTTTTATGGCTGAGTAATATTCCATTGTATATATGTGCCACATCTTCTTTATCCATTCATCCAATGATGGACACGTAGGTTGTTTCCATCTCCTGGCTATTGTAAATAGAGCTGCAATGAACATTTTGGTACATGACTCTTTTTGAATTATGCTTTTCTCAGGGTATATGCCCAGTAGTGGGATTGCTGGGTCATATGGTAGTTCTATTTGTAGTTTTTTAAGGAACCTCCATACTGTTCTCCATAGTGGCTGTACCAATTCACATTCCCACCAGCAGTGCAAGAGTGTTCCCTTTTCCCCACACCCTCTCCAGCATTTATTGTTTCTAGATTTTTTTGATGATGGCCATTCTGACTGGTGTGAGATGATCTCATTGTAGTTTTGATTTGCATTTCTCTATTGATTAATGATGTTGAGCATTCTTTCATGTGTTTGCTGGCAGTCTGTATAACTTCTTTGGAGAAATGTCTATTTAGATCTTCTTCCCATTTTTGGATTGGGTTGTTTGTTTTTTTGTTATTGAGCTGCATGAGCTGCTTGTAAATTTTGGAGATTAATCCTTTGTCAGTTGCTTCATTTGCAAATGTTTTCTCCCATTCTGAGGGTTGTCTTTTGGTCTTGTTTGTGGTTTCCTTTGCTGTGCAAAAGCTTAGAAGTTTCATTAGGTCCCATTTGTTTATTTTTGTTTTTATTTCCATTTCTCTGGGAGGTGGGTCAAAAAGGATCTTGCTGTGATTTATGTCATAGAGTGTTCTGTCTATGTTTTCCTCTAAGAGTTTGATAGTTTCTGGCCTTACCTTTAGGTCTTTAATCCATTTTGAGCTTATTTTTGTGTATGGTGTTAGGGAGTGATCTAACCTCATACTTTTACATGTACCTGTCCAGTTTTCCCAGCACCACTATTGAAGAGGCTGTCCTTTCTCCACTGTACATTCCTGCCTCCTTTATCAAAGATAAGGTGACCATATGTGCATGGGTTTATCTCTGGGCTTTCTATCCTGTTTCAATGATCTATATATCTGTTTTGTGTCAGTACCATACTGTCTTGATTACTGTAGCTTTGTAGTATAGTCTGAAGTCAGGGAGTCTGATTCCTCCAGCTCCGTTTTTCGTTCTCAAGATTGCTTTGGCTATTTGGGGTCTTTTGTGTTTCCATACAAACTGTGAAATGTTTTGTTCTAGTTCTGTGAAAAATGCCAGTGGTAGTTTGATAGGGAGTGCATTGAATCTGTAGATTGCTTTGGGTAATAGAGTCATTTTCACAATGTTGAATTAGAGTCTTCAGCCCACAGAGCAAACAGGGCGGAGAGGAGTCAGGGCCCTCCTAAAAGTAAATAGCATCCATCCTACTGTCCAGGGGCTGACCCCGTGGGAGACAGCGAAAACAAAGTCTACAGAACTTAGTGCAAATTGGTCTTTCCTTCTTGGCCTGACTGGGGAGGTTAGGACTTTTCTGGGTGAAATGTTTAGAGATTCTCAAAGTCTGTGGCTGTTACATCTGTGTATTTTGAGACATAATGGCTATGCCTTAATTTCCTAAAATTCCAATGATCCTGACGCATCCATTAATTAGCTACCCAAAGAGTAGTTGTTGGGTACGTCCCATGATCATCCTTCATTCATTTATTTAGCAAATATTAATAGAATGTCTGCTGAGCGTAGGGTCCTGTGCTCGGTTTTGGGTATGTAGTGGTGACATTGGATAGTTTAGAGGGAAGACAGCCCTGTGGAGGATTCTTCCGTTTGCCCCTCCAGATCTATCTTCCACTCTTGTCCACCTCTTCTCTGTCCCAGGAGGCTGACCTCTATGGATGCACAACCCAGGTCCCTTCCCCAAGGGGGTACCCCAGCAGGAGGTCTGGGGGAGGAAGGAGTGTGAGGTCAGGACCCAGTGGTTGGATGTGTCCCTCAACTGGAGGATGGGTGCCCCTCCACCTAGGAAAGCCGACTAGACCCGACTTCCTCTCCTTCCACGTTCTGGTAACTGTTCTCTCTCCTCATTTTGGGGGCCTCCACGTGGTATCAGCTTGGCTGCCCTAGCCACAGATAGCTGTACGACCCTTTGTGGTTTTCCTACACCCCCACCTTTGTAAAAAGTCCTCAAGTCATCCTGCTGTGGATGGGCCATCTGTTATCCATGGGGACCCTGATGCGGTAACTGCATTACAAGTGGAGAAAAGTGCTGTAAAGAAAATAGACAATGTGCTTACGTGGAGACTATTGGGGGATCTCTTTTAGTGTGGTCTGAGAGGGGCTCCCTGAGCAGGGGGGTCATATGTAAGTTACAGCATCGAGGGTGAGCCCCCGAGGGGTGGGCAGGGAGAGCAGCTCAGGCGGAGGGCTGCCTGTGAAGAAAGACTCCAAGCAGGACAGAGCTTGTTAGAAGGGATGGAAGTCAGCCTGTGTGACTAGAAAGCACTGAGGGTGGGGCCGGGGGGCAGGTAGGCCAGGAGGAGGAGATGGCAGTCAGGTAGGACAGGGAATTAGAGTTGCATGTGCACTTCGGATTTGTTCTAAGTGCAGTGGAAAGCCATGGAGGGGTTTTCAAAAGAGAAACATGATTTTTTATTTTTTTAAAGAAGGTTGCAGTGGAGCTCCTTGGTGAGTAGATTGGAGAGAGCAGAATGAATGAATCGATCAGTGAATGAGTTAGCTATGGATGACGCTTTAGCTCACTGCCTTCCTGCCTGCAGGCCTGTCTCACCCTCCAGCACGTAAACCCCTAGAGGGAGGGGTCCACGTTTTGTTAATTCCTCCATCCTGAACGTCTAACCTAGCCCGGTTTCTGGCATGTATAACGTACCTAAGAATGTTCACTGTAAACCTGATTCTCTAACAGTTGCTCCTCATTCTTTTATTTTTTTTAATTTATTTATTTATTTTATTTTTGGCTAAGTTGGGTCTTCGTTTCTGTGCCAGGGCTTTCTCTAGTTGTGGCGAGCGGGGGCCACTCTTCATCGCGGTGCGCAGGCCTCTCACTGTTGTGGCCTCTCCCGTTGCGGAGCACAGCTCCGGACACGCAGGGTCAGCAGCCATGGCTCACGGGCCCAGCCGCTCCACGGCATGTGGGATCTTCCCAGACCGGGGCACGAACCCATGTCCCCTGCATCGGCTGGCGGACTCTCAACCACTGTGCCACCAGGGAAACCCTGAAAGCATATCTTTAAATTCATAATCCATAATTCCACAATACCAGGCATACAAATCTACTCCCTCTCTTTTTTGGAAACAGAAGATACACAGTGTGTGTCTGGCTTTTCTGCCAATAAGATGTTAAGGTCCATGCGGTCAAGGACTGTCTTTGACCAGTCCTTGTACACCTTACGGTGACTGGCATAGCCTGGACACAGAGTTGAGGCTCATATTGCCACAGTGTGTCATATTTAATGAATCTGTCCATTTTGTTTGCTTTTCTAGATGGTCAAGGTGAAGCAGAAGCACCACAGGAGGGCCTTTCTCACCAGGAAGGCCTGGGAGGAGATCTGATTTCTGACAATGCTTCCACCTCTCCTGTCCCCTCAGCTCCTCCAAAGAGAAGGTACAGTATTGATACAGGCAATCAGCACGCATTTGCTAGCACCTCCCCTCTGCCAGGTGCTCCTGCAGGCTCTGGGAGAACAGAGAATAACACCTAGTCACCGTCTACAGGAGCTGAAGGTCTGAGGCAGGAAGACTGAGTGTTTTGTCTCCTCTACTTTCTCTATGGCAGTGCTGGCCAGGGTCCCGGCTCTACCAACGTCTAGTCTTAAATTTCCTGAGTTAAGGTACTCATGTCCCTCATTGTTCAGGAATGACAGCAGCAACAGGAGACAGAATCAGGTGCTGTCCCTCACCTGCTCTTTAATTCATCAAGATGCTAGATGTCTTGGCTTTGTGTTTGTCCCAAATGAGAAAGTGGTTCTTATACTACCCAACAAAAAGGCAGAACAAACTGGCCTTCTGCGTGCAATTTGTTGTATCAGTTAGCTATAGGTGTGTAACCAATAACCCCTAAGCTCAGTGGCTTAATATGAGCGCTTATCATGCGTTAGTTTGGATAGTTTTACTGGTTCCAGGTAGTCACAGGTATATGACTGATGTGTCTGTTGTCATTTGGCAGTTCTGCTGATTTTAGCTTGACTGTTGGTTGGTGGTGGGTTGGTTCAGTATTGCTTTACCTGGGACCACTGGCCTCTCCTCCGTACGGTATTAGATCCTCTAGCAGGCTATTCCAAGCTTATTCCAGTGGTGGTGATGGCAGGGTTCCAGGAGAGAAAGTGGAAGTACACAAGATCTCTTGAGCCCAGGCTTGGAATTGGCAAAAGTCATTTCTGCTGCACTCTGTTGACCAATGCAAGTCACAAGTCTAGCCCATGTCACAGCAAGAGGAGGCTACAAGTTACAGGGTAAAAATCCTGGATACAAGGAAGCCAATAATTGGGGCTATCAATGCTTTTAGTCTACCATATTTGTTTATGTCAATTTCTTGCTAATGATAATTCCTCATGCCATCCCTTCCTTTTCCGCTCAGAGTTGTTATTATCAGTAGGGCAAATTAGTGCTTCCTTGTGTGGCACATCCTGAGTTGGTGTTACTGGGCTGTGACAGGATGGTACACAGTGTATGTGTGTATGGGGAGGGGGGCAGGGGGCGGGAGACAGATGGAAATCAGAAAAGGTGATAGCTCAGAGCTTGACCCTTAAAAGAAGATGTGAAGTTTGTACGTTCATCCTCACTGCAATGTCTCCCCCGCTACATGGCACCATGACAGCTACCACCCCCGCAAACCCCAGAATCAGGACTTCAGTTATTTTTTAATATCCTTTAACAGATCCTTTGCCATTTATTTCACTAAGATAATAGCATAGAATTAGTGGAGGAAGGCAGGAGAAAGAGAAGGAAGAAGTACGAGCCTTTTGCTTTCTCCTGGCCAGTGCATCCTCCCTCAGTTAAAATTCTACCCACCTACCAATGTTCAATTCACATCTGACCTCTGTAGTGATGTCTTTGTTGCTTACTTTGGCTCTCACAAATTTCTCTCTTCTCTGAAGTTCTATCACATTTTTTTCTACGACATGTCTTACACTTAATAGTTCTCCCTTTATCTGCTTCGGTCCTCTCTCCCTTGGATAGCTTGCTAGCTCTGCAAGGACCAAGATGATGGCTTGTTCATGTTTGTTTTTCCTCTGAGACTAGCACAGAGCTTTCACACGGTAAATGGTCAGTACAGGTTTGCCGTTTTATTGATGAACAGATACCCTTTGATATCTACCCTTTCCTACATGCAATATTTCTTTTAATCCTAAAAGCAACCCTATGCGGTAGAAATTATTATTTCTATTTTTAGATGAAGAAATTAAGACTAATATCACAAAATTGGGGAAAACAGTATTCTAATTCAGATCGGCCTGACTCCAAAGCCTTGAGACTTTTACTAGTTTACTGTGTTCTCTACTGGACTCAATTGCAATCAGCAGAAATGCAAGGAAGTTAAATGCAGCAGTGTTGCTAGAAGGCAAGAGAATAAAATTCAATAGGAACTCGAGCTCAGTTTATATCCCACCCATTGCTGCTTCTGTGGCAACAGGGATTATTCACCTCTTTATGTTATTATCCAATTTCTAGATGCCCAGGTGTTGCACATCTGTTTTCAATTACTCATGACAGTCCTGATAAGTGAAATCCCCTGGAATGTGAAATCTCGCTGAGATGACATCTTGGTCATTCTTTGCAATTTTCTTTTTTACCAATTTTTTTTTTTTTTCAAAAGCAGTCACGAAACTCAGAATTGCTGTATTTACCAGAAATGGCAAATTGGTCCTCTGGATAGGATCAGACAGCAGATTAGGGAGATCCTTATTTAGACCCAGCTCTGCCACTGATTTGCTGAGGCATCTCAGTTTCTCATTCTGTAAAATAAAAAATAAATGATACTGATAATCATACTCACAATAAGAATTGACATTTAGTCTTGCCAGGAACTGGGTTAAACCTTTATATGCCTTACATCTTTTAATTGTAGCAATCACTCCTTGTGATAAGGGCTATTATTAGTGCCATTTTTTAGGATGGGAAAACTGAGTCATAGAGAGGTTAAGTCATGGTCCATCTATACTTATCTCCTCCAGAGGTGGAGAGAGAATATGTGATATAAATAAAAGCATGTGGAAATACCTGGGAAAATATTATCATGGCTTATGGATCTAAGGTAGGTTCTTACTTAATGAAACAAATATGTTAAACTTTCTTTCAATAGATCAAAACTGTTGACTAAGATCCACGATGGGGAGGTCAGATCCCAAAATTACCAAGTAAGTGATGAGCTCTTCCTACCAAGCCTCCCCCAGCTCTTCTTGTGTGAATGAACAGCCAGACCCAGAGTGTGTACACGCTGCTTTGTGTTGTAGATTGCCATAAACATCACTGAGGCCCGCCAGCTGGTGGGTGAGAACATCGACCCAGTTGTGATCATTGAAATTGGGGATGAGAAGAAGCAAAGCACAGTGAAGGAAGGAACCAACAACCCATTTTACAATGAAGTAAGTCACGGAGGTCACCAACTTCCTCTCCACCAACACACTCTTCACCACCACTCTGCAGCATTCTTCAAATAGAAAAGCTGTCGCGGAGCCTCCTTACAAAATTTTACAGACAATGGAAAGGAGAGGCAAGGAATTCCTCCTGATATTAAATTCATTGCTGTGTTTTCAATAGACCCATTTTCTTATTTCTTTAAAAAAAATATTTACTGGAGTATAACTGACTTACAATATCATATTAGTTTTAGGTGTACAACATAGTAATGCAATTTTTAATACATTATGAAATGATCACTGCAGTAAGTCTGATTACCATCTGTCACCATACAAAGTTATTACAATATTATTATTATTATTTTTTTTTTTTTTGCGGTACGCGGGCCTCTCACTCTTGTGGCCTCTCCCGTTGCGGAGCACAGGCTCCGGACACGCAGGCTCTGCGGCCATGGCTGACGGGCGCAGCCGCTCCGCGGCATGTGGGATCCTCCCGGATTGGTGCACGAACCCGTGTCCCCTGCATGAGCAGGCGGACTCCCAACCACTGTGCCACCAGGGAAGCCCTATTACAATATTATTGACTATATTTTCTGCGCTGTACTTTACATCCCTGTGACTTACTTACTTTATAACTGGTAGTTTATACCTCTTAGTCCCCTTCACCTATTTCACACATCCCCCCAACACCCCTCCCCTCTGGCAAACACCAATTTGTTCTTTGTATTTGTGAGTCTATTTCTGTTTTGTAAGTTGTTCCTTTGTTTTGTTTTTTAGATTCCACATATAAGTGAAATCATATGGTATTTCTCTTTCTCTGACTTATTTCACTTAGCATACTACCTGCCAGGTCCACCCATGCTGTCGCAGATGGCAAGATTTCAGTATTTTCTATGATTGAGGAATATTCTATTGTGTATATATACCCCATCTTCTTTATCCATTCATCTGTTGATGGACACTGAGGTTGCTTCCATATCTTGGCTATTGTAAATAATGCTGCAATGAACATAGGGATGCATATACATTTTCAAATTAGTGTATTTGGTTTATTCAGATAAATACTCAGAAGGAGAATTGCTGGATCCTATGGTCGTTCTGTTTTTAATTTTTTAAGGAACCTCCATACTGTTTTCCATAGTGCTTGTACCAGTTTCTTATAAACTCATCTTCATCTGTCATAAGCTCTGAGTTTATATCCAATAAATGTGCTGGTTAGGGAGAAGATATACATTCTTTTGCATAGCAGAAACATTGAAAATTTAATTATTAATTTTGAAATAGGCATGCCGTGTTGGAAAGTACAACAGTGGTATTTTTCTAAGCAGCGCAAAAATTGTAAAGGAAAGCATCAAGGAGAGACACAAAGCTTCTAAATTTATACACACTAAATTCTTGTTTTTAAATAAAAAGATTAAACAGTTTTTAAAAATGGTCAGAGATACAGAGTTTAAAATGATATATGTGAAAATATATATGATATATGTGTTTCCCCCTGATCTTTGATCTCTATCTAATCCCTTAGTGCCCCTCCCTGGAGACAGCCATTCTCCCCAGGCATTTGTGTATCCTTTGCAGAGATATTCCAGGCCTGCATAAGCATACAAACAGATACTGTAGCCAAATGGTAGCATTCTATACACACTGTCCTGGACCTAGGTCTTTTCACAAAACAGTGTATCTTGGAGATTAGTCTGTATCTAGACATATAGTTCAGGGCTTCCCTGGTGGTGCAGTGGTTGAGAATCCTCCTGCCATTGCAGGGGACACGGGTTCGAGCCCTGGTCCGGGAAGATCCCACATGCCACGGAGCAACTAAGCCCGTGTGCCACAACTACTAAGCCTGTGCTTCAGAGACCACGAGCCACAACTGCTGAAGCCCACATGCCTAGAGCCCGTGTTCCACAATAAGAGAAGCCACCACAATGAAAAGCCCATGCACCGCAACGAAGAGTAGCCCCCACTCGCTGCAACTAGAGAAAGCCCCCGTGCAGCAACAAAGACCCAACACAGCCACAAAAAAAAATAAAAGTAAATAAATAAATTTATATATATATATATATATATATATATGACATATAGTTCAATCTCATTTTCCCTTCTTTGCTGTAGAGTTTTCCATTGCATTGATATATTATAATTTACTAAACCAATCTCTCATTGATGGATATTAAAATTTTTTTCAGCCTTTGGATACTACTTTTAATGATATTTAAATGGCATAACTAGGGTGAAGAGTATATGCATTTAAAATTTGATATGACCACATTGCCCTCCAAAAAGGTAACAATTTGTACTCCAACTAACAGTGTGCAAGAGTACTTGTTCCCCCCTAGGCACTTCAACACCATGAATTGTCAAAAAATGCAGTAAACTCTTATTAATTAATTTTTTAATGAGAGTGGTAATTGAAAAGGCAGGCAGAGAGAGTATGCATAATAATATATAGAGAAAATTCCCAAATCACATTTGAGCTGTTAACTCCTTTCCTCTTTATCATTCTTGCCTCTGAGACTTTTACGATGTGTTTAAGTGACAATTTTCTCCTTTCTGTTCTACGCCTCAGCTCCATAACATCTTTTGGCCTGAATGCGATATGAAATAACATGCATGAAAATGCTTTAAAACTGCAAAGCTCTACAGATTTGTTGACGATTTTATTAATGTTTGCTTTGTGCATACAAGTCCTGGATCTAAATGACATTCAATTAGGCTAAGTGTAATCATTGGGAAATCAAGTAAAAAACAAAGAAGTGGAATTAAAAATCTTTGTTACAGATTTGGACTCTAATTTTTCAAGCCCAAAGGTCATCAGATGTTGAAGGAACCAGTTAGTAGAGGCTGGGGAATATTTCCCAGCTAGAAAAATGTGTGTGGGTTCAGAGGTCCAGGGAACATATATGAGGCAGCGAAATCTGAAATACTGTTTGTGAAACTCAGTGGAAGGCAATAAACATTAGAACTAATTTATTGATCCAAAGGAACCCCCAGCATCTCATACACTAGAGAATGAAGAACTTCATGCAAGTGTTTTGGACATAAAAGAAATTCTGAACACCGAAGCTCTTAAAAAGTTTGAACATGTATATGAAAAACTTCCTGAAATGTTATACATAGTTTCTTAAACAGGAGACACTGAACATAACGTAACTTTTCATTGTTATTGAAGGACGGCCATTTTGAACGTCTCTTATTATGGTATATGATGACAGCTTTCACATTTTGGTTTTTCTGTGTTGCCTTTAACAGCAGGCTGTTAGTGGTCACTTCTCCCTTTCCTACTGCTGTCATTTTTTTCTCTGATGTCCTTGTGTCATTCCTCCATCTTGCAGCTCAAACACAAAACAATCCATGAAACAACTTCCTACCGGCCTCCCCCAACCCCATCAGTCCTCAAAACACACAACCCACAGCAAAGCACTACGCCAGTTTTCTACATGAGGAGCCTTCTACCTCACATTTGGGAGGCACTCAATAAAGTTCCAATGGTGAAACGTCTAGCACTTGAATTCCTTTTATAGTAACTTCAGGAGAACTCAGCTTTGGTCCCCAGCCCAGCGATAACTAGCTATATGACTCCAGGCATGTCTTTTAAATTCTTTCATCTTCAGTCTCTTTAACTGTAGAATACGAGGAGCAGTCTATATATTTTCTTCAACTCTAGAATTCAATTGCTTTCCTCAAATTAGAAATCTCCCTTACCCATAATTTCTTTTCATTCTTTCCCTGGTCAATCTTGGGAATTTCACAGGGATGTTTGAAGCTGAAAAATCCTGAGAAAATCAAATTTTAATCAAGTTCACTCCAAATTAAAACCACACTGTGATATACTTTCACTCATCATTATATATAGGCAACAAATAAATAGATAGATAGGTAGATAGGTAAATGTAAAAGAATTGAAAATTCAAGGGTTGGCAAGGGAATGGCTATTTTCCTATGCTGCCAGTGGGAATGTAAAATGGCTTAGCTCCTTTGGAAAAAAATCTTATGCTAGCTACTAAAAATTTACAGGCATACAAGCCATGACCCAACAATTCCAATTCTCATGTCCATTTTAGAGGAAAACTTACAAATATGTTATGTACAGATGTAATTGGTGATAGTCTTTTTCTATTTGAAAACAAATTAAATGACTTGCAGTAGGGGAGGGCCAATCAATTGATGATACAATTATGTCATTGAGAACCTTGCAGCAATTTGTTAGAAAAATGCAGATCTAAATCTATTCCAAGAACAGAGTTCTTACACGCAAGCCAGGAATTTATGGTCAGAATGAACTTTATGTTTTCCAGTACTTTGTCTTCGACTTCACTGGGCCCCAATTGCATCTTTTTGACAAGATCATCAAAATCTCAGTAAGTATATCATTGCTGGTGGGGGTGAGGGGAGGTGGAAGAGATTCTAGGCTGTGGGAACTCTCTAGGGCAGCTCAGTCTGTTTAGGGATGAATAGATTCAGGAGTGTGAATGTGGGTTGTTGAGTTTGAAACCAACAGAATAGAACTTGAAATAATCAGTGCAGAGGCATCTGGGAAGGAAAACAGACTCAAGAAAGGTTCTGTACTTACTGGAAGCAAGCTGTAAGCTACCATCAAGCCATTGTGTAGCTGACTAATGTGGGAATGTGAAATATATACGTGAAGTATAAATGACATCTTAATAGATTGTCATTTTGAGTTGATTTCTTTCTTTTTATCAAGCAAATGTTAGTATTTCTCTCTTGGGGTGATAGCCACGCCAATAATAATTAGTCACACCCCCCATTCCCCTCCTATTTGCTAATAAATAGAGAAATAGGAACAAGAAGCAGGAAGCAACCCAATATATCAATAATGCTGAGTCGGAAAATGTGATTTGGAGCAAATGGTTGCCATTTGAAGTCTTAATAGTTGCCTCGGAGTGTAAACATCAGGACCTGCCCACGGGGAGTTGGGTTGGCCACGAAGAGCCTTCCTCAGCCCTGCCGGGCGATTTCCTGTCTCCACAGATCAAGTCTGAGGAGTAGAGATGGAGAGAGCTTCCTGGTCCACACAGGTGCCTTGCTAGGTTGGCCCACCATGTAGAGGGCAGGAATGAGAAGGAAAGTGCCCGTGTTGAAGCTGTATTAGTCCAAATGAGGGTAGGGCAGGCCAACCGGGATCACTGCCAACTTCACATCACACCACTCAGTAAAGGAACAGAGAGCTGCGGATGGCTCATTGCGTCCATCTCCCCAGCCTGAGAAATCTCTGCTTCTCCCATGAAGAGCACGGTGGGAGTGTGTATGCCTTAAAGTGGTGGGGATGGGCAGGGGGCTTGAAGGGTAGGTGCTCTCTTCCCAATAAATTCTGAAAGAACAGAATTCCTACTTTATGTGACAACGTAAGACGTGTGGAGAATGAGGAAATGTTTTGAACAGTGACACCAACCCTGATCAGAGTTATGAAGATGGCAAAACTTGTCTTGAAGACTTCCTTGCCTGTCATTATCACCCACTCAATCTCTATTATATAAATTATACTATATTATATTGCATTACATTATATGTATGCATATTATATATAAGTCGTACATTAAGGCTTAGGTAATAGTGGAATCATGATATTCTCTTTCCCGGGGGGTACTTGAAGAATGTGACTCTTGAGGAATAAAAAGTCACTAGGAGCCAAACACTCTTCACACGTGAATTTCAGGCGTGATGACAGGTGGTGAGAAGATATTTCAGCACCTGGGACATTGCCCAGGATGTCTCATTGCATCACTCAGGCAACCACCTGTTTGTGGGATCGGCTTTATAACAGGCTCCTAGGGGACTGTCTAGAGTGCAGATGAATAGTTAATAGCTAGGGTTTTTAAAAAATTAATTAATTTTTGGCTGCGTTGGGTCTTTGTTGCTGCATGTGGGCTTTCTCTAGTTGCAGTGAGCGGGGGCTACTCTTCGTTGCGGTGGGTGGGCTTCTCATTGCGGTGGCTTCTCTTGCTGCGGAGCACAGGCTCTAGGTGCGTGTGCTTCAGTAGTTGTGGCACGTGGGCTCAGTAGTTGTGGCTCGCAGGCTCTGGAGCGCAGGCTCAGTAGCTGTGGAGTATGGGATTAGTTGCTCCGTGGCATGTGGGATCTTCCTGGACCAGGGATGGAATCCACGTCCCCTGCATTGGCAGGAGGATTCTTAACCACTGCGCCACCAGGGAAGTCCAATAGCTAGGTTTTATATGGCATCATAGACAAGGGTCATGACTCTCTGCGGGGCAAGTGGATTTTTAGCAGAGGATCAAAGCTGGTATTGCCTATCTCTGTTCTTCTCACTTGAAAGAAAAGAATACTTTGGTCTCCCTAAAAGACACTTGGGGATAGAGACTGAAGATTTTAAAGGGAAAACTACCCTTGAAAAGGGAGTGTTTAATATAAGTTTTCTGTTAGTCCATGATCCAAAAGTTAGCATGTCCAGAAAAAAATTCCATGTGGGAGAAGGGGGCCAGTGCTGTAAGCAAATGCTGTTGGGACAGCCAGGCTGTAGCAGACCCTGGTGGTGCCAAAGACCGTCTTCCCTTGACAGTGGCCCCAGGCATGCAGGGGCCCCTTCTCTCTGTGTGTGAGATGCCCTTGTTCTTGTAACCCAATGCTTGACCACACCAGCATTGCCTGGTGCTCACACTGGGTGGATGATGTGAGGAGGCCTCCTGTTATTTAGAGATCCATCTGGGGCTCCGGCTCATTATGCCCATAGGGACCAAGATGCCTTTGATCTGAGAAGACAGCTTAAGTGAGGCTCATGTTCTTTTTTTTTTTTTTTTTTTTTTGCGGTGCGCGGGCCTCTCACTGTTGTGGCCTCTCCCGTTGCGGAGCACAGGCTCCGGATGCGCAGGCTCAGCGGCCATGGCTCACGGGCCCAGCCGCTCCGCGGCACGTGGGATCTTCCTGGACCGGGGCATGAACCCGTGTCCCCTGTATCGGCAGGCAGACCCCCAACCACTGCGCCACCAGGGAAGCCCTAGGCTCGTGTTCCTGCTCAGGGCTTTGAGAAGCTGCAGTAGCAGCTCTAAGCATGAGGGGTTTGAGGTGAGTTTTGTGCCTGTGGATTTAAATAGCTCCTCAACTGAAGCCAAACTGTCCTTACTTCCCCTTTGTTCTCTAACACCCTTGCAAACTTTGGACAAGGGAGGAAGAGTGGGAAGGGAGCTGGGAAGGGCTCTCATTTTCTTCATTTTTTGAAATCAGTTGAATGTATTGTTTCTTACTGCCTCTTTCAAAAGGATCTGTTCAGAAGCTACAAAAGTCTCTCACTCATCCATCATTCAATTAGTCAATCACTCATTAACTCACTGAATGTTTATTGAGTGTTTATTACGAACAAGGCCATGTGGTGGGTAGAAGAAGGTAGGAAACTGTACTTGAATCAAGGAACTCATAGAATTTTACAGTTAGAAGGAAGCCTCAGAGACCATCTAGTCCAACTTCCAGCTGGCGTAGGAATCCCTCTTCACCACCTCCATGACACATGACATGGGGTTCTTGGGCACTACTTGATTATATCCAGAGATGGGGAGGTCACTACTCCTAGAGTAGCCCATTCCATTGCTGGGAAGTTCTGTTATAAAAATTGCCTTTATAGTGAGCTGAAATCTCTCTTCCTGTAGCTTGGGAACCACACTGGGATCCTCCTCCCTCTTCTAGATGGCAGTATTTTCAAGTGTTGAAGACACTTGAGTTACCATTGCTCTTCTTCCACACTCTCAGTTTTCTCTTTTCTGGGTTAAAAGTTAAACTACTGGGGGCTTCCCTGGTGGCGCAGTGGTTGAGAGTCCGCCCGCCGATGTTAAAGTACTAAAGTTAAAGTACTCCTGATTCTTCAGCAATTTTTCATGCAGTGTGACTTCTGGACTCAGGCCCAGCTCTGCCAGCTTCCTTTAGAACTTCCTAATCTTAATAGCATTAACATAAAAATGTGCTGCTGTAACCAGCCAGGCACTGTGCTGACTTCTAATCAGACAAAATATTGAGGATGACAGCCTCCTTTGTTCTGACTATTGTACATGTCCCAAACTTCTCAAGGCAATAAGGATGAGTTCTCTGAGAAAGTGGTGAGCAAAGTGTTGTGGGATTTTAGGAAAAAAAGGGAATACTTTCATCTGTGGAGGATCAGGGAGGGCTGCTTGGAGGAGGCAGCATTTGCTCTAGGCATTTAAAGATGGATAGCATTTCAAGAGGCAGAAATGGGTTTGAAGAGTGGGCTGCCCTAGAGTTCATTTTGGCTACAAACAAGCAGACAAACAAGCAAAAAAAACACGTTTTAGGCAGTGAGGTTTGATAGGTGTCCTTCAGTAGAAAATTAGCTAAAATCCTGCTAGGAGATGAGGTACAGCTGCAATACTTTGGATGCCCTGTACAGCCAGCCCTGAGGTTTGATAACCAAATGTCACTGTGCTCCAGATAAGTATGAAGGCCAGACAAGGTTCAAGGCCTAGAATCCTCTTTGAATGGGTTTGTCATGAACCCATTTCACAGATTTATCCTCAAAGAGAAATCTAGTGTTGTCGGACTCACCGCTCCATCTCTCCCCAGGTCTTTCACCACAAGCTGATAGGAGGCGTACTGATTGGCTCCTTCAAAGTGGACCTGGGGACCGTGTACAACCAACCTGGTGAGAAAGCATTGCCTCCCAGTCTCTCTCTGTTACTTTCTCTTACTGTGACACCTGAAGGTCAGTTAGTTTATGTGTTCTTCCATGTATCCATTTATTCAATAACACTGAGCACCAGTTTTACAAAGTGGAGCAAGACATGTGGCTCTTTTACTCTAAGTTCACAATCTAATGATGCAAATACCTTATATGTTCATACGTCCGAGAAGTTTAAAAATTTTTTTTCACAAATTCTGTCCAATTTACTGCTGCGAGACACAAGAAGGAAAGTTGGAAGGGTGTAGAAGTTAAGAATATGGACTCTGGGGCCAGATTGCCTGGCTTCAAATTCCACTCTGCTCTTTCCTAGCTGTGCAACCTTGGGTTAATAACTTGACTTCTCTGTGCTGCCGTTTCCTTATCTGTAAAAATGGGGATAAAATAGCACCTCCTTATAGGGTTGTTGGAGGATTAAGTGAATATATACGTAAGTGAATATATGCATAAGAATGTATACATAAGCACTTTATAGGCTCTAGCACAGAATAATGACTGTGACATGCCATACGTGGGTTTATGTGGCTGTAATTATTATTATTATCCCTGATTTGTCAGAGGAGCTAGGTAGTTTGTCCAAGGTCAAGAGCTAATAAGTAACAGAACCAACAACACACATAGATCTTCTCATGAAAGGCCCCTTCTCTTCAACAGTGATTCCAACTCACATGACCCCAAGGGGGCCAGGCAGTGAGCATCGCTGAGTGCAGTGGGCTGGGTTTAATGCAGTCAGGGGTGACACAGGCTATGGGAAATGGGGGGCGGGGCTCACAACCCCTGTGGAAGGAGTAGCATCTACTCAACTCCCTACCACCTACAGTCGTGTGGAAATGTGGACTCCGTGTGGCCAGATCTAACAGTTTTTAAAAAGGTAAGCCTGAAGTCTAGATTTTGTAAGAGTTTTGAAGTTTGGGCTCCCCGTGTAGGTCAAACAAAAAGATCCCTGAGCAGCGTTTATGGCCTGTGAAATCATGTGTGGCTTCTACACTGCATTAATGTCCTCCTCTCCGGTCAAATCTAGACTCCCGTCCAGGCAATTTCCACTGCGTTGAAGGCTTCCCAACTCCCTGTGGCAGTTTGGAGAAAAAGATGGAGAAGTGGGTAGGAAGAGAGGAGAGGAAGGAAAGGAGGAGAGAGAGGCAGCACAAGACTTGGAAATAACTGTGCTGAGCTGGCCCCTCCTGGGGAGTAGACGGTGGGGAGGCTTCGGGTTGGAAGAGAACTGGATGGAGCATCGGGGTGCATCAGTGCAGGATATCTGAGCTGTCAGGACTTTTTGCAGGTCATCAGTTCTCCGACAAGTGGGCCCTGCTAATGGACCCCGGCAACATCAGGACTGGCACGAAGGGGTACCTGAAGTGTGACATCAGCGTGACTGGGAAAGGAGATGTCTTAACGCGCAATCCCAAAACCTCTGATGCCAAGGAGCAAATAGAAAAGTGAGAAAGGCCCATCGAGGACCGTGCAAGAGAAATGATATGTCCCAGTTTCCATGTCTCTTTCTTCTCCCTTTCCTTACGGGTTCATGAGAACTTCCAAGTTCAAGGCCTGTCCAGTGGGGATTCTGCTCTATCAGAGGCACCACGACGTGTCTTATCAAAGGCATCACTATCCTTTGGGAGGTCAGCTTCGAGGACAAGAACAGCCTGCCTTCCTGTAATAACCCATAATATATAAGCTATTCTTGAGCCTATCCTATTGATCTGAATGTAGTTGATTTTTCTTTGAAGGAAGAATAATTTCAGCCACTAGCTCGTAAAATGGGAAGACTTTATGTGCCTCTTCTAAGTGTTTATTCTTTAATTCCAGGACCTGAACGAGTTTGCATTCACTCTGTTTTTTTAAAATTAATTTTTATTGGAGTGCTGCATTCACTCTATTCATACTCTGTGCTGTCATCTACACTAGAAAGAAAACTCATTTTAGCGATGAATCCTATCTTTTCAGATTTTTCTCCTGCATCAGAATTCTTCTTTCTGCCTCCAAATTGCCTCTGCCTTTTCTCTCTACTCTTTCAAGTGAGAAAGCTTTCTTATGTCTTATTTTTGTCCCCCGCAAGGAACCTTTTGATCCCACAAGGGTTTCCATCAGAGAGACCCTGGGCCAGATTCTACGTGAGGCTCTACAGAGCTGAAGGGCTGCCCAAAATGAACTCCAGCATCATGGCGAACATCACCAAAGCCTTTGTGAGAGACAGTAAGGACCTCGTGGATCCCTTCGTGGAGGTCTCCTTTGCTGGACAGACGGTGAGGAAGGGTCATCACCAACCCTGGCAGGCCTGGACTGGAATCTTGCTCTTTACCCAGGACACTGCTGGTCAAATGACATTAAGTTAAAATCAAAATTAGGAAGTGCCCAGAGAGAGGAAGCTTGTCACGAAAAGGTTTTACATCGCATGGCAGGAAAGTAGTGGAGGGCCACCCACTCCCTCACCGTTGGAGCTCGTGGAGAGAAGTGAGGGGAAGATCATGGTGCAGCACCCAGGCAGGCAGGCCTCCTTCCTCACCTCTGGCTGCTTCTCTGAGCTGTTGCCCAGTCCCCAGCCCCCAGAGGATTACCACCTCCCTTTCAATCTGCTCTACAATCTACCCAGCTAGTCCTTGTCCTGTGTAAGCCTGGACATCCCTGTTCCCAGCTGTTCCCTGCTCAAGAGCCATTGGAAGTGCTAGGGCCTGGGCACACGGTCAGAGCTTAATCCTGGTTGGCTGGACTTGGAAGCTTCAGCTGACACACATGTTGTCTCCACCCGGCCCCTCCCGTTGGCAGGGTGAACCTTGGACTATTTCTATCTTGGACCCCATTGGCATATATAGGACATATATAAGCCCCATATAGGACACCACCTCCATTGTATGACGAGGAAACTGAGGTCCAGACAAGGGAAGGGATTTGCACCAGGTCCAACTTTTATAAAACATGAAGTCAGGCTCTAACTGTATCTGCTGCAATCCTGGAGATGTGTGGCACTCCTTCATACACAGGTGTCAAGTTCACCCCAACCCAGTGGATGATGAGAACTTCCTGAGGGCGGGACCGGTGACAACTCACCTTTGTCCCAGATGCCCAGCACAGTGTCTGGCACAGAATAGGACATCAGTAATGTTCATGGGGTGTAACTGATTTTCATGGGTGTCGGTGGAATCAGGTTCATTATTTTTGACAACTCACTTTGTATTTCCAGCTGGTGTGAAGTTTTCTTTAGTCGGTCAAGGGCCCCTTTCATTTCCTTCCATGGCTCACATTTTCCTGGCTTTGTTTTTAGGGGCGAACCACGGTGCAGAAGAACTGCGCCGATCCTGTGTGGCACGAACAGGTGGTCTTCAAGGAAATGTTCCCTCCCTTGTGTCGAAGGGTGAAAATCCAGGTATGGGATGAAGGCAGCGTGAGTGATACAGTGCTGGCAACGCATTTCATCGACCTGAAGAAAATCTCCAATGAACAGGATGGAGATAAAGGTAAGGCCGCACGTGTCTGACTTGGAGATTGGGCCTCCAAATGATTGATTTAGAGCCTTCGTCTTCAGAAAGAGAGGGTTGGAGCAGGCAATGTCTTAGGCACCTTCTATCCTCTGTGTGGTCTGTGGCTTGGGTTGGTTCAGGGTGGTGAACAGAGCCAGACTCTGGGAACCACGAGGCTTGTTCCCTGTCCCATGTCTTCCAGGAACATTGCTGTGTGTCCTTGAGGAAGTCACTCCCTCTCTCTGAGCCTTAGGTTTCTTAATTGAAAAATGAAGAGTTTAGATTAGATAAGAGGTTGGCAAACTGTGATCCATGGACCACATGTGGACTACCACGTATTTTTGTATGGCTCACAAGCTAAGAATGGTTTTTACGTGTTTATTTATTTATTTTTAAAAATTAATTAATTATTTATTTTTACTTTTGGCTGCGTTGGGTCTTCGTTGCTGCGCGCGGTCTTTCTCTGGTTGCGGCGAGCAGAGGCTACTCTTTGTTGCGGTGCGAGGGCTTCTCATTGCGGTGGCTTCTCTTGCTGGGGAGCACGGGCTCTAGGTGTGCGGGCTTACAGTAGTTGTGACACGTGGGCTCAGTAGTCTTGGTTCACGGGCTCTAGAGCGCAGGCTCTGTAGTTGTGGTGCACAGGCTTACTTGCTCCATGGCATGTGGGATGTTCCCAGACCAGGGCTCGAACCCGTGTCTCCTGCATTGGCAGGCAGATTCTTAACCCCTGTGCCACCAGGGAAGTCTCGGTTTTTACTTGTTTAAATGGTCAAAAAAATATGGTGCCCTCAACTCACAATGGGAACTCAAGAGCATGAGTATTTCAGGGAGGTCCTGCTGACTGCACTCAGAGAGCCAGGGCAAGAATGGAGAGTCCCAGCTAATCCACAGAGTCAGGCAAAGGAGTTTTCACCCAAGATAAAGTTCTTTATTTATAAAACCTAAATTAATAGCTGTTAATTCTCTAAATACCCCAATCTACCTTCCCTTTTTTAAATGCCAATGCAGTCTTCCTCTGCGCTACAAATTTGCATTGATCAATGTATATATTTGTGTATATGTGTGTATGTGTGTGTGTGTGTGTATATATATATATATATACACACACACACACACACATACATACACATTATACTGAAGGCTTGGCTTAAGCAGAGAACGAGATTTACACATTTTTGTGCCCTGCACAGAGTGACACCATAGAAAGGCCTTAATAAATATCTACTGTTTAAGTATTCATGATGTGGGAGGATTTGCCACAAGATTTCTTTATGCAGAAAACACACTCTGTCCACCTACAGGATTTCTCAACCAGACATAAACATGTTACCCACAGACTTCCCTGGTGGCGCAGTGGTTAAGTATCCACCTGCCAATGCAGGGGACACGGGTTCGAGCCCTATTCCGGGTAGATTCACATGTCTCAGAGCAACTAAGCCTGTGAGCCACAACTACTGAGCCTGCGTGCTGCAACTGCTGAAGCCCACGCACCTAGAGCCCATGCTCCACAACAAGAGAAGCCACCGCAATGAGAAGCCCGCGCACTGCAACTAGAGAAAGCCCACGCACAGCAACAAAGAACCAACGCAGCCAAAAATAAGTAAATTTTAAAAAAAACAAACAGGTTACCCACAACTTTTCAGAAACATCTTGATGGGTTCAGGGAGATGTATAACAATGGTTTTAAAAGTAGACATCGGGGGCCATGGGAGAGGGACGGGGGGTGAATGGAGAGAGGAAGTTTTCAGGCATAAAACTATTGATAACAATAAAGCATATGGAAACTTTTCCTCGTCAGAAAGCGGGGGGATTGGGCTTCCCTGGTGGCGCAGTGGTTGAGAGTCCGCCTGCCGATGCAGGGGACGCAGGTTCATTCCCCCGTCCGGGAAGATCCCACATGCCGCGGAGCGGCTGGGCCCATGAGCCATGGCCGCTGAGCCTGCGCGTCCGGAACCTGTGCCCTGCAACGGGAGAGGCCACAACAGTGAGAGGCCCGTGTAACGCAAAAAAAAAAAAACAAACAACAACAAAAAAAAACAACAAAAAACCGGGAGGATTGTTAAGCAAATTATGATATATATACTTATTAAGAGTAATGGCTAATATTCTAGACATCTCTTAAAGACTTGTATGAAGCACTTAATATTATCTCTTTTAATCCTGATAGGTGAGATAGGTACTATTAACACCCCCATTTTACAGTTGAGGAAACCGTGGCATTGGGAAGTTAAAAAACTTCCACACCTTGAAAATGGCAGACCTGAGAGTTGAGATTTGAAACCAGGCAGTCAAGCTCAGGACCACCATGCTATATACTGCCTGTCAAAATGGAATATTCTGTTGTCAAAGAGATGTTTGCATAGACACTGTATATTTTCCCAAATGCTCTGTATTAAGAAGGGAAACTACTTATGCTAAGAGTAAGTTAAGATCACCAGGTCATTTCAGTTCTACATTTAGAACATATCTCAGAATATTTACTTCTCTCAATCTCCACTACCAACGCCCTGGTCCAAGCCACCCCTATCTTCAGGTTTTTTTTAATATAAATTTTTAAAAATTTATTTATTTTATTTATTTATGGCTGTGTTGGGTCTTCGTTGCTGTGCGTGGGGTTTGTCTAGTTGCGCTGAGCAGGGGCTACTCTTTGTTGCAGTGCGCGGGCTTCTCATTGCGGTGGCTTCTCTTGTTGCCAAGCACGGGATCTAGGTGCAGGGGCTTCAGTAGTTGTGGCTCGTGGGCTCTAGAGCGCAGGCTCAGTAGTTGTGGCACACGGGCTCAGTTGCCCCGCGGCATGTGGGATCTTCCCGGACCAGAGCTCAAACCCATGTCCCCTGCATTGGCAGGCGGATTCTTAACCACTGCGCCACCAGGGAAGCCCACGTCTTGAGTTTTGATGGAGAAGTGGTGCTTGAACCAGTGTGCCCACATCCATTCATTTTTTAAAAAATTTTTATTTATTTACTTATTTCTATTTTAGGAGAAAAGCTAAAGTCTTGACAAAAACATGGTACTAAAACAGGAAACTAAACGAATGCAAAATAAAACACAAAACAAAATCAAACCAGCATGGACTTCTGTTTCCACCTTTGAAGATGACTGATTCGGGACTTGCCCTAGCACTTTATTTAGTTGTTTTTTAACTTTTTATTTTATATCAGAGTATAATTAATTAACAATGTTGGGTTAGTTTCAGGTGTACTACAAAGTGATTCAGTTATACATATACATGTACCTATTCTTTTTCAAATTCTTTTCCCATGTAGGTTGTTACATAACATTGAGCAGAGTCCCCTGTGCTGTACAGTAGGTCCTTGTTGGTTACCCATTTTACATATAGCGGCCCACGTCTGTCCTTAGAACCCGTCACATAGCAACCAGGGTGATCTTAAAAACACACAACCGGTTAGGTCACATCTTTGCTTAAACCCCTCTAAAATATTCCCATAATTTCTAGGATACAGTCCAAAATCCTTATCAAGCCTCCGGAGACCCGCTCACCTCTCCAAACTCTTCTCACCTGCTCACTCTCTGGACTCCAGCCACATTGGCTTTCTCTTCCAGTTCCTTCTATCTCCAAGCCCCTTTCCAACTGCCGTGTGCTTTTCCCTCTGCCCAGAACTCTCTCTCCTCTCTCTCTGCCTAATTCCTCTCTCCACGCCACACCAGCCTGTATTTTGTCCTTGCTGCCCAAGATACACCTCCTTCATAGCATTTGTAATGTGATGTGAATATTTATTTGTTTAATGTTTGTATCTGCTTTATTCTCTACTGGGCTCTGTGTTTTGTGTCTACCATGATGCCTGGCACATGTTAGGAGTCAATAAATGTTTGATCAATGAGTGAACAGATGAGGAAGCAAGTTGGCATTCATAGTCTTACTACAATTGTGGACAAGCGTAGACATGCATGGAAGAAAGACTAGAAAGGATTGTAGCAAAATGGTGGTTGTGGCTTTTGGTGATGGGATATTCTTTTTTTTAAAATTAATTAATTAATTTATTTTGGGCTGCGTTGGGTCTTTGTTGCTGCGCATGGGCTTTCTCTAGTTGCGGCAAGCGAGGGCTACTCTTCGTTGCGGTGAGCAGGCTTCTCATTGCGGTGGTTTCTCTTGTTGCAGAGCACGGGCTCTAGGCACGCGGGCTTCAGTAGTTGAGGCACGTGGGCTTCAGTGGTTGTGGCACGCGGGCTCAGTAGCTGTGGCTCACGGGCTCTAGAGCACAGACTCAGTAGTTGTGGCACACGGGCTTAGTTGCTCCGCGGCATGTGGGATCTTCCCGGACCAGGGATCAAACCACTGTGCCACCAGGGAAGTCAGGGATATTCTTTTTGGTTTTGCTTTGCTTTGTTTTTTGGCCATGCCCAAAACTTGCGGGATCTCAGTTTCCCAACCAGGGATTGAACCTGGGCCATGGCAGTGAAAGCCAAGAATCCTAACCACTAGGCAACCAGGGAACTCCCCGTGACAGGATATTCTGTAAATATTTTCGCTTGTCTTTTCTTTATATTTTACATTTCTAAATGAATGTGCACAATTTTCATAAAGCAAAAAATAGCCACAGCTTGAAAGCATAACTAGGCGACTGAAGCTTGGTTATCTTTACAGGCTTTCTACCCACATTCGGACCTGCCTGGATTAACCTGTATGGCTCACCCAGGAACCAAAGTCTGATGGAAGACTACCAGGAACTGAATGAAGGTTTCAGAGAAGGCGTGTCGTTCAGGGGCAGAATTTTGGTGGAGATTGCTGTGGAGATCCTCTCGGGAGGGACACAGGAGTTTAAATTCTCCAAGGCTCTCAAGGAGCTCAAGCTGTCTTCAAAGGACAAAGACTCCAAATCTTCCAAAGGCTCAAGTAAAGACAAGGGTGACGAAACTGATGGAAAAGCCCAGCAGGCTTCAGACAAAACCAACTCAACAGAGGTCGAGGTGGAGCCTTTCGATGCGCCCCTGGAGGTAGGTCTGAGCGCTGCTCCACCGCGTCTGTGATTTGAGCCCAGAGCAGGGACAGCACCTGCCACAGGCTTCCAAAGACCCGCAGAGGTGACATTGCCCCTGCAAAAGGTGTTGGCTCAGCCCTGTATTCCAGGGCTGGTCCTCTGCCTCTTCCTGCTCACATCACAGCCATCTGCTCATGATACATTCCATCCGCGTCCCCCCCAAGTACGGATTCCCATGGCAACCAAAGTAAAAGAGAAATAAAAGTGCTCTGGGGGAGCTGGTGGGAGTTGGTGGTGGGGTGATGGACTGAAGTCTATCCATGGCCTAATTTTGTTTAGTTTTGTGAGCTTAGCGTACGCTCTGGATGTGAGATAATGTGGGATGAGGGATGAAGAGGAAGAAGAGTGGGTGACAAGCTGTAGGATGAAAGAAAGTGAGAAACCTATTCTCCTGCCCCCGCCCCCCCACGGCTGTGGGGAAATCACAGCTGGAAGGAATGGTTATCTTTGCTTGGGATTCAACATAATGCACAGCAGCATCTTTTAGCCCAGTTCTGTGTTATGGTAGAGAGATCTGGGGCTCCAAGAGGAATACAAGCCATGAATATCCTCTCAGTCGTTTAGTTCAGCAATAGTGCTTTGTAGTTGCAAACGAAGGAATTTTATGTTTTGGTGGGTAGATTATAGCTTGGATGATTCTACCTCTGGGAGTGTGTTTCTCAGGTCATCCAGGCAATGATTTTAGATGGGGAAGGGAGGTAATGGCCAGTCTTCCTGAGCTGTCCATTCCTGGTAGAGACTAGACAGATGGAAGGATTTTTAGTATGTGGGTCACCTTAGCTTTGGAAGAGCCACTTAATTTTACTGCTGGGAGCTAATAAATCTTAAGAAACAGTGCGGGGGAGAGGTTGTAGCTCAGGGTTGCAAATCTTGGGGATTGGTCCTATTCGTGGCTCTGATACTAACACCTCTCCGTGTTTCAGTTTACTCATCAACAGAATGGGGTGGTAATGGTCCCTCTGTCGTAGGCACCTCCTGGAGTGAATGAGGGAATAGTTGTAAAATGGTCCGCAGAGTTCTTAGCACATCCATGGTGAGCAGGCAATACCTTTGCTGTTGCTGTGGTTACCAGTGTATTTCTATGGTTTACTCCCACCACCAGGGGAAGGTTATTCAGAGCTCTCCACCCTGCTTGACTTTTTTTGGACTTTGCCAAAAATTGTGGGTAGCTTAGTGGCCACCTAAACTGATATCCCTTGTATCTGTCCCTGTTGAGACCAACCATTCTTTTCTAAACAGAGATTGCAAAGTGGAAAGGGGCTAGTTGAAGATTTCTTTAACCTAAGTCAATATCTTCAAGATATTTTGCTGAGGTCATCTGAAAAAGTAAAGTCTAGCAGAAAGCCAGGGTGACTGGGAACTTAGGTGGGGTAGAGCATCCACTTTTCTACAAGGCCAGGGGGTCATCTTGGCTATTGCGTGGTCTGAGGGGGAAAATTCAGACCCTTATTTCATTCAAACTTTTATTTCATTCAAACCCTTATTTCTTCTCCCTCCTCTCTTAATCTTGACTTTCTGGTTTGTGGTCAGTTCCTTGCTGTGTTTATTAGTTATCTATTGCTGTATAACAAATTACCCCCAACATTAGCAGCACAAAATAAACAAATGTTTATTTCCTCTGTGGGTGAGGAACTTGGGAATACCTTAGCTTGGTGGGTCTGGCTCAGAATCTCTCATGAGGTTCCCATTTAGATGTTGGTAGGGGCAGCACTTATCTGAAGGCTTGACTCAAGCTGTAGGATCTAATTCCAACATGGGGCACTCACATGGCTGTGGGCAGGAGGCCTCAGTTCCTTACTACATGGACCCTTCCATAGGCTGCTTGAGTGTCGTCATGGAAGATGACTTCCCCCAGAGTGGGTGATCCAAGAGAGAGCAAGGCAGAAACTGCTATGTCTTTTATGACCAAATCCATGGAAGTCACACCCTGACATTTAGGCCACATTCTAATTGTTAGAAATGAGCAGCAAGTCCAGGCCATGCTGAAAGGGGTGGGGCGGGGAATTAGCTTTCACCTTTTAAGGGGAAGATTTTCCAAGAATTTGTGGACATATTTTAAAACCACCACCCTGGGCTCCTCCCTTTCCCAGAGTCTCAACAGCTCAGAGTTTGCCCTTACCAACATGGTAACATCCTTTTTCTGCAGCATCTTCTTCTTTTTTAGCTCTCCAGGGTCCTCCAGCTCTAATCTCCTTTGCTGCAGCCTTACTGTCATTGCATATCTGGACAAATGAAATCCGATGTTGCTGGCTTTCAAAACTCACCCTCATCACCACCATCAAAGATTTTCTCCCTTAGGTCAAACTTTGTATTCATTTTTAAATCCTCAGCATTGGAAGGAATAAAAATAGAGTCTGACTCCATGAAATTTATGGTTATAGAAAGGGAGATAAGACATAATAAATATACAGGAAGTGGAAAGTGATAAGTGTGATAAGTAGGGACAGAGAAAGTGCTATTATTTCCTGGAGTGAGTGCAGTATAATGATTAAAATGTTGGGCTCCCAAGTAAGACAGCTGGGTTTAAGACATGGCAGTATGGTGCAGTGGTTACTGCCCCAGCCTCTGGACAAACATTCCCTCTGTTTGAATCTTTGAGCAAGTGACATAAGCTCCTTAGGTTTATTTCCAATAATAACCTTTACTTCATCGGCTCACAGTGAGGGTTTAATGAATTAATACAACAAAGTGCTTATTAGAACAGAGCCAGGCACATAGTAAGTGCTCAATAAGTATTAGTCATGTTTAGTAACTTTGGACAGATTTCTTAATCTTTCATGGAATTGCAGTGTCTTCATCTTTAAATGGGTATAATAGAAAGATCCCCCTCCTAGGATAGTTATGAGAATTACATGAGGTAATGTAGGTAAAATTCTTAATACCACATCTGACACATAGTAAGAGTTCTGTAAACATTACCATCATCATTTTTCTAACTCAGGGAGTCAATGGATGCTTCCAGAAGAAGAGGCATTTGGGTTGGACCTTGAAGGGTGGGTGGGATTAAGACATGAATTATAGTTGAAATACTTATGGTGACTGCCACTTGCAGCATTGATATGAGTAGGCTTTATAATAGGTATTGCACATGGATGATCTCCTTTCTTCCCCGTGTGGGTCCTCCTATGATGTTTATTTCACAGACAAGGAAAATGACACCCAGACAATGGGCATGGCTTGCCCAAAGTCAACAGCTAGGAAGTAGCAGAGTTGGGATTTGAAGAGGGGATTGGCTGGCCTTGGAACCTGCTGTCCCTCTTCCAGGCTCTATGGCCTCCATTCCCTTCAGGTCTCTGAGTGGTTTTTAACCTCCTCCCAGATAGTAAACTTGGCCCCATGAAGGCACGATAAGGGGCTGGCTTACAGCCAAGGGACACAGTGGTGGCAGGTGGGAGTGGTGTGTGCTCTGTGACTAAGAGCCAGCACTAGGTCCCCACCCTGTCCCACATTTTCTGGTCAACAGAAACATTTCCTGCTGATGCCAACAGCACAGGAGGCTCGTGTGTGAAGGAAGGGTCTCAAAAAAGAGAGAGGAACAGAGGTCAGGGCTCTCCATTGAAGGGAGCTCTTAATCTATGAAGCCACGACTGCTTTATTTCCTTAAATGAACCATATTGCTTTTTCTGTTGAGTTTAATAAGTCCAAGGGTAAAACCAGAAAGAACAGACTATAAATCCAGCTCATTCAGCCTCTTAGCTCAGAAATGTGATGCTGTGTCATGTGGTGTCCCAGCTACACATGCTCCTTGAACAATCAACCTCTTAGAAAGATATGTATACTAAGCTTACCTTTAAAATAAAAGGAAATTTGATTGTAAGGTTGAAGCTCAGGAGGTGGAGACTACATCATTCTAGATAAATGACTGAATTTGGATTTGCAATTTGTAGGTCCTGGTTTCTGCCAGTCTGATTAGAGGGGAAACTATGTGCCATTTCAGGCTGACATCAAGACTCAGGTTTCTATAAATTACCTTGGACCGGGTTGGCATCACTAATTCAGCTTCCTCCTGCTAAAAAAAGAGGCAGCCCTGTCTAATGTATTTTTTTCTTTCTATAGATTGTACCAGAAAAACAAGAGGAATTTTTACTGTTTGGAGCGTTTTTTGAAGCTACCATGATTGACCGGAGGATTGGAGATAAACCCATTAGCTTTGAAGTTTCTATTGGTAAGTGCAGACAAGCACGGTGCCTGGCACATGACATGAACTTTATACCTACCTCTTAAATAAATGAATTCATGTGTTACGTGAAGATGGTAGCACTCTGCTGGAGGTTTGCACCTCAGGAAGAAATGAATAAATCCTTGTCCACTCTGGTGTCAATATGTAAGGGATAGATTTATTTTCATACTTAAAAAAAGGATTAAGAGTATAATTTGCATTCAGACAGACTTGGACTACTAATTCTGGTTCCCTTAATTGCTCTGGGTCTCAGTTTCTTCGTCTATAAAATGGGAATAATGATAACTCCTCATGGAGCTGTTGCAAGGGTTTAATGAGTTAATGCATGCAACATGCCACACATATAATAGGTGCTGTTATTATAACTCCCAGCAATCTTCCTGGACTGATGTACATCTGGGAAAACCACTCCAAGAAAGAGCATTCCATCAGAGAAGGTCTTGATTTATATTTGGGAAGTTCTCCATCAGTGGAGCAGAAGGAAATGGAGATGGAATCCAGTTAATTTGTAACTTAAGTAATTTTTACAAAAAAACCCTAAGATGTATGTTGATGATGGCTTAGTGTCATTGTTAATCTTATTTCTTTGGTCTGCCCATCACTCTACCTTCATACTGAGAGCTTATTTCCCTGCCCTGGGAAGACATAAACTTGGATCCTTTCTGCCAAGCAGCCTGATTCTGCTTATTGACACTTGGCCCTTCTCGCCTTGCTACTGGCTCTTCAGGTAACTTTGGGAACTTGATTGATGGGGGATCGCATCATGGGAATAGGAAGAACTCAGTTGACCCAGCTGAAGAAGATGCCCTTCCACTGCTGCATGAAGGAGAAGGGGACGCAGCCATGCCCATGGTCTCCACCACTCATCCCGAGAAGCCACTCGTGACAGAAGGGAACAGGTAGGAGACACAGCAGGTGAGAGTAGCCGGGGTTTCTGACAGTAGAAGCTTGACCAATTTCTGGGACTGTTTGATTCAGTTCTTCCCTAAAACTGGAAACATTCTTTATCTTATTTATAAGAACAAGGTGCAGGGCTTCCCTGGTGGCACAGCGGTTGAGAGTCCGCCTGCCGATGCAGGGGACACGGGTTCGTGCCCCGGTCCGGGAAGATCCCACATGCCGCAGAGCGGCTGGGCCCGTGAGCCATGGCCGCTGAGCCTGTGCGTCCGGAGCCAGTTGCTCCGCAACAGGAGAGGCCACAACAGTGAGAGGCCCGCGTACCGCAAAAAAAAAAAAAAAAAGAACAAGGTGCAAACAAGGGCAACATGGTAAGTGCCACTCCTGAATTCTTAGTAACATGTTGACAGCTCTCCAAACGACACATCCAGGGGATTCATGTAAGGGCAGAGCAATGATGATGGTTATTATTATCGTATCTGAAGCTCCATTCATTCTATAACTTTGAAGCATAACAAGGTAGGAAGGTCAGATGTTAAAATTTCAATCCCAAATCCTATTAACAGTTGTTATAGTCATCTGAATATAAGGTAAACTCAAGTTGGTGGAATTATTAGATACATGATTTATTATCTTATTTTTGCTCACCATCAAACTGAAGAACTCAAAAATGAGCGTCAGCCACCAGAAAAGACCGTTTCAGAAAACTGCTGGGGCACCTACATGTGCCCTCACTGATCGTTAATCCAAGTAACGTTTCAACATGCCGAGAGAAGTGAAATTATAGAACTGTCTTAAGACAGTGATGTCAACCAAATGGTTTATGAGAAGGGAAAGCCACACGTAGAGAGATTCTTCCGTGTTTTCAGCTTTATGCCATGAGTAAAAAAATATGATCTCACTGGATTGTCATAAGAGAACATGGCTCTCCCTGTTCACATGTGAGGGGATGGGAACCACATCGTTAGTTCTCTTTAATCTTCGCTCTTCTCTCTCTGGGCACGAACCCATGGCTTACCGACCATTGTTAGAATAATGACTCTCACATCTATTTCCCCAGACGGGCTTCTTTCCTGAGCAGCAGGTCCAAACACCTCCATTTGGGAGTCCCTGGATTATTCACCAGACTCATCGTCTTCACAGACAACTTTGCCCCTTTTCCTATCTTTCCCATCTCAGAGACTGGTCATAACATTGTCTGCATCCTCCGAGCCACAAATCAGAAAGTTGGCAAGTGTTCACTTCCCTTCCTACCCGTATCCAATGAGTGATGAAGTCTGGTCAATTCGAGTTCTCCAGTGTGTTCTCTTTTGCCATTTCTTGAATCTGGCCTGTCAGCACCTTTGGCCTCAATTATTTTAAACACCTCTTACCTGGCTTGGATCTGTTTCAAGAAATTCACTGAACTATCTATCTGAACTCCCCAGTCCCCTGATTGACATTATACATTCGCTGTCTGTGGCTTTCAGAATTAATTTCAGAGGACATTTTTTTTTTTTTTTTTTTTTTTTGCGGTACGCGGGCCTCTCACTGCCGTGGCCTCTCCCGTTGCGGAGCACAGGCTCCGGACACGCAGGCTCAGCGGCCATGGCTCACAGGCCCAGCCACTCAGCGGCATGTGGGATCTTCCCGGACCGGGGCACGAACCCTTGTCCCCTGCAAAGGCAGGCGGACTCTCAACCCCTGCGCCACCAGGGAAGCCCAGGGGACATATTTTGTTGATTTGATCCCTTCCCACTTCTCTACGATAACCTCTGGGTATTCCCCAAACCCCAGCGTTCCCGCACCGCCATTCCCCAGATGGGTCCTGTGGTTTGCCGTGTCTGGGCCTTTGAACACGCTCTTCCTTCTGCCAGAGGCAACAAGCACCCTCCTCAGAACTGCTCGCTTCCGTTACCTTTCAAGACTAAGTTCAAGTTCCCTTCCCTGAATCCCAAGTCTTATTTGGACCTTCTCTACTCACCTGCATCAAACACTAATCACACTGCATTAAGATATTTTTACTAGTCTGTCTCCCTGTTAGACTGTGAGTACCCTGAGGGCAAAGGACTGTGTCTTGTTCACCTTTCGATCTGCTCATCTCCATGCCAGGCACACAGTAGACGCTCATAACTGTTTCTGAATGAGTTAAGGACATGCTATAACTGGGTTGGGCACAGGGTACTATGTGGGTAGAGGGGGGCAGTGGAGGAGGTGAAGAGTTGGGAAAGGTCACAACAAGGGCGACATCCTAAAGGGCGAGAACGAGCTTAAGGGACAGAAAGCGACTGTCTGGGACAAAGTAGGAAGCAGTAAGTGAAAATAATAATTTTTGAGCATGGCCTACATTTTCTAAATCCCGTCTCTCCCATGGACCACCCTCCCCCTCCCACAGACCACCTTCTTTGGGGTCTTTTTTATGGGTCCCTGGCAGCCACCCTCCTTTACACGCACCAAAAAGGACCCCAAACTTCCCAGCCCTTTAATGGCTTCTCTGTCCAGTCTCGAAACTGAGGACATCAATGAACGGGATCTGCAGCTCTGGGAGTCTTTTATGAGACTCTCATTGGTACTCTGCATCCTTTCGCCGGGATCCTTTTGGCAGTGAAAACATCCCCACCTTGTTAGACTAGCCTGTTGTTGACTGTTGGAGGGGATGTCAGGGGATGTAGTGTGGGAAGGGTTTGAGAGGAAATGAGAGCTCTACGGAACCCTCAGATGGACCTCCCATTAGTCCTGACAGGCTGGCTCGAAGAGACCAAGATGCCATGCTGGTGTTTTGGGGCTTTATATTCCTGTCACTATATCGAGGCTCTGTCCACATAGTGGCAAGCCAGGGTGGTAGCAGCTGAACTGGAAGATTCTCAAATAGACCACCACACACACACATGCACGCATGTGCACACACAACATACACACACATGCACATACACACACAATTTGTCTGTTGCCTCCATGACAAGACTGGCCTGCCTTCCACGTTTCTCTTCACACAGACCCGGGTGTGTATGGGACAATTACAGGCGGCTGAGGGCAAACCTACTTAAGAATATCGCTGTCTTTAGGCAGGGGACTTCAGCTTTTTGCTACACCTCTCCCATCTTCCCTGCTTTCACATCCATCCCTTTCCTCCTTGGGAACTGAATTCTACTGGTTAGTTCCTTCTTTTCTGTCTTCAGTCTCATCCTCTTAACTTTTTTCTTATCATTTAGGCACATCCAACCATCGCCATCAGCCATTCATTCTCTTTGGCTCCACAGCTCCCCTTCCAGCTGCTTTGCCATCCCTCTCGTCCCTGCTTAGTCAAGCAGGTCATCTGCATTACCGGCACCAATGCCCAGCAACAATACATTTTGTATGGATGGATGAATGGACGGCAAGCCATGGGATGCTGACGTTTAGTTTGAAGCACATGACTTCATCTTCATTAATATTATTACCCTCTTAGATTTCTCTAGTGATTTCAGTTTATAAAATACATTCACATCTGTTATCTCGGTTGATCCTTACACAGTCAGGGCCCAGCATATAGACATTAAAAGGAAAAAGATGTTAGTTTTTCTCCTTTCTCTCTTCTCTCAATTGGAAAGAGAATTTCTCCTTGAAGAGGGCTTGCCTTCCCTCTTGTGAGATCATTTCTAAACTTTGCCCTGGGTCAGAGGGTGGTAGCTGTTATTACCTCACCGCTGTAGCCGTATAACAGTTCGTTGCTTATTGTCTATGGATCCCCAAGTAAAGGCTAAGGATGGAATTAATAGTTTGACTATTTTGTCATCACCCTTCCCCCAACCCACCCAGAACATACAAACATGAACAGGTTACTGGGATTGTCTGAAAAACACTGATCACCAGCTAACTTCCAGACCTAATGTGTTTTCCCAGGAATTACAACTATTTGCCATTCGAGGCCAAGAAGCCCTGTGTCTATTTCATCAGTTCTTGGGGAGACCAGACGTTTAGGCTGCATTGGTCCAACATGCTGGAGAAAATGGCGGACCTCCTGGTAGGTGACTCTGACAGGTGATGGATTTGAATATTGGGAAGCTGGAGGCAAAGGGGATTTTTTTCCACCCAGTAGAGGGTCTTGACCTCAGTTTAAATACAAGTGAATTGAGGCTGCTACATTTGGAGGACACCTGGCTCCTACCACACGGACCCAGGGGAACGAGAATACATTTTGCAAAATCCCTTGACTTTAAATCAAATTATCCAAATTCAAATCCCTGCTCTGCTTCTAACTGTTATAGGACCTAGGGTTAGGCCACTTTCCCAATCTCCAAAGGCAAGGGATGGACAGCTTTCTCACAAAATTGATAGATCTTAGCTTCAACTAATATAAAATCCTAAGTCCTTAACACGGTGGACAATTCCTCCAAGTTCAAGCCCTGACACCTCTCCAGTCCTACATCTCACGTGCTCTTCCTCCTTACTGTGTTCCAAGCACGCTGGTCTCCTTTCAAGTGCCTCAAAGAAACCAGGCTCCTCTGTGCCTCCTAGCCACCTCCATGCTGTTCCCTCTGTCAGGGCTGCTTTTCCCCTTCATGTTTCTCCTGTGAAGCCCAGTCAACCTCTAGGGCTCATACTTAAGCACTTCCTCAGAGAAACCTTCTTACTCGCTCCCTTTTACCCTCTTCCATCATATCCTGCTCTTTTCCTTCAGAATTATTTGAGGAATTGAATGTGTGAAAGTATTTAAAACGGCACCTATATGTGAAAAATACTAGGCCGTCCCACCCAACCCCTGCCGGGTGGAGGCAGGGAAGAAAATCTGGGAACACTGCTCCTTTGGTATCTCCCTCCCTTTGTGATTCCTTTTTGTTTACTCCACATTCCTCTTTCCAGCCCACACATCTCACGAGCAGTGTCCTCTCCTCTCTGTCCCACTGTGCCTCACCAGGGGACCCTGGTCTGATCCCTCTCATTCCATGAAAACCCACACGAAGGAAAGCACGCATTTCTCTCTCCCGTTTGCTTTATAATTCTGTCTCCAATTGTGTAAAACACGGTATTGGGGGCTTCCCTGGTGGCGCAGTGGTTGAGAATCCGCCTGCCAATGCAGGGGGCACAGGTTCGAGCCCTGGTCTGGGAAGATCCCACATGCTGTGGGGCAACTAAGCCTGGGTGCCACAACTATTGAGCCTGCGATCTAGAGCCTGTGAGCCACAACTACTGAAGCCCGCGCTCCTAGAGCCCGTGCTACGCAAACAAGAGAGGCCACTGCAATGAAGAGGCCGCGCACCGCAAGGAAGAGGAGCCCCCGCTCGCCGCAACTAGAGAAAGCCCGCATGCAGCAACGAAGACCCAACACAGCCAAAAATAAAATAAATTAATTAATTAAAACAAAGCAAAACAAAACAAAACACAGTATTGCCTCTGGCCATGGGGATTGCAGGCATCATGGAGACGGAGTCTGAAAGCGGTCATGGAGGCTGGGTTTGGAGTCACGCCATGGGGAGGCCATGGACTCACTTTTTACGGCTGGTCTTGCTTCTCCTTCAGACAAAGTAGTTTATTTCTAAAACGCTTGAAAAAACAAATCAGAATTTTTTTATCCCTAGAGGCCATAGTAGCCTTGAGCACTTGTTTCTAATTCTTTCTCAGAGCCAGGATCCCTGCCATGCATGGCATATCATGGCTAACCTGACTGAATGTTTACTAAGCACGAAGCATGGTTTGAAGACGTTCACATCTCCCTATAGGGCTATAGGTGGGTACCATTATTGCCAGATTTTACAGATGAGGAAACTGGGCAGAAGTGGGTGAGGTCACCTGATAAAGCCTGGATTTGGATGTCGTAGGTAGTCTGACTCCCAAGCCTAAACCTTTAACCGCTCCACAGTGTTGCCTTATGGTGAAGGGGCAAAGAGGGAAATATATGTCCCTAGGTATGTGATGGAGGATGTCGTTGTTGTAAATTCTAGCAAAGCAGTGGTGACGTGTACATTGCCCCTTGGGTGCCATTTTCCTCCAAGCCATGAAATGGAACCCTAGAATTTAGGATCCAAAGGAAAAGTACAATGATTAAGTACACAAGCATATAGCCAATGTCATATACAACCTGTCTTCTTTTCCCTCAACACCCCACCCCTGACAAAAACCCCCATAATCAGAAGAATTGATAGCCTGTTAGTTTCGGGGATTATCCAGTGTGGTTATACTCCTATATAACAAACTGGCATGAACATTGCTTTTGAAGTTTTTGATAATTCTATCTAATTTACTCTACTTTGTTAGGTATTTCCCATGACATTAGGTTTCCCTCACAAGGTAGATTCTAAATAAATGGAACTCAGTTCATGAATAAATCTGGGACAGAAACAATGAGTTTGAGCAACACAGGAGAAGACTTGAATCTGGGCCAATTCCAGTTAAGAAAGGAAGGTTCGAAGTTAGAATGCAGTGGCATTTCCCTGTTCAGACATACACGAAAAAACAAGAGATATGTTCCTTCATTTTCAAAACAAAATATTAGCTCGATATTATTTCTGTGAGTGTTAGAATCAGTGTCTCCACTATGGTGTCTCATTCCCACCTCTCATCCCCCCACCTCTGTGGTTTGTTTTCAGGATGAAGGTATAGAGGAAGTGAAAGAACTGATTAAGATTTCAGAGGAAGCCCCGGAAGAGAAAATGAAGATGTTGCTCACTGACTTCGTCAGTCAAAGCAGGTACTGCAGAGACAGCTGTCATCTGGGTAGCTCAGCAGATATGGAATCAGCTTTTAACTACTTAGAAAATGGTCGATTTTACATGCATTCATATGGGCATTGAATAGTGTTATATCCATCTTAATTTTGTTCAGTAATTTAGCTGCAACTGTGGGCTCACTACTGCTTCCTGACACTTAACTAAAACATAAAGCAAAGGGGGGAAAAAAAAGGAAAAGAGAAGAAAAGAAAGACTGCAGAGACATTTTATGAAACAAGAAAAATGCTGGTAGTGTCAGTGTCCAGCATGGCTCTTTGCATCTGATAGGTACTCAACAACTATTTGGCAAGTAGATGGATAAATTATATCAAATGCTATTTAATAGAATTTTTATACACTACATTAATAAGCACCAATTAATGACTTTTATTCCAGGAGGTAGACAATATAATAAAAGATGAAAAAACAGGGTGTATTAGTTATCTATTACAGAGTAACAATAACCCTCAAATTTAGTGGCTTACACATATTTATTATTTCACAGTTTCTTGGGTTATGAATGCAGGTGTGGCTTAGCTGGGTCCTTGGCTCAGGACCTCTCCCAGGCTGCAGTCAAGGCATTGACTAAGGCTACAGTTACCTCAGGGCTCAACTGGGAAGGACTCACTTCCCAGATCACTCATACGGACATTTGCAGAATTCAGTTCTTCATGAGCTGTTGGATTGAGGATGATTGAGGACTCCAGTTCCCTGCTAGCTGTTGTTTGGAGGTCATCCTCAATTCCTTGCCATGTGAGCCTCTCCAAGCTACCTCTCACAACATGGCAGCTGACTGCATCAGAATGAGTAAGAAAGAGGAGTCAGAGAGAACATGCCAATAAGACGGACGTCACGGTCTTTTATAACCTAATCTTGGACGTGACATCCCATCAGTCTTGATGTCTTCTGTTAGAAGCAAGTCACTAGGACCAGTGCACATTCAAAGGGGATGAATTGCACAATGGCAAGAAGAATAGGAGGTGGAGATCATTGGGGCCATCTTAGAGGCTGCCTTCCCCATAAGGAAACAGCCTGATGAATTGGGTCAAGATGTGAGCAATAATGAGAATTTGTTATAATAGAATCAATGGAAAAGGAATGGCTATTCATGTGATGGAAAGAAAAAAATTAATAGATTCTCGTGTTCAGCTTTGTAAGTTTCGTCTTTCCTAATCTCTCAACTACCCAAGCCTTTTTTACTTAAAAAAAAGAAAGCAAAGAAATAAATATGTAGTTTTTTCTCTCTTTCTTTCTTTTCTGTGTTTCATATAGAAGCAATATATATCAGTGCTACTCCTGCTGTGAGCTAAGTGTCACCTGCAAATCCCTTGAAGCATCCTTAAAAGCTTCATGGTCATATTTTTAGAAATTGTGGGCAAATTAATAGCTGAATAACTTTTCTCTGTTAGGGGTTACTTGGAAGTGATAATTATTCCCTTTTCTCTTCAAGTTTAAAGCCAACTGAAAAAAATATTCCTGAGGGTCAGACAGAGATCAAACGTTCATTTTATATTTGGTAAACCTGGATTTGAGAAAAAAGTTTGTACCTGAGGTCAAGGAGACTTTGTGGTCCCCCCAGCTGTTTGAGGTTGAGCAGTTGGACTTTGGGGCTTCCCCCCCAGAAGGGACAGGCCACCTGCTGTGTTCAGGTGAGGAGGCCACCCACAGCTGGCAGTGGGCGGGGTCTGAAAGATGAGGAATGGACAGAATCACGTGCCAAAGTCATCTACCCCCATTCTGATGGGGAAATAAGTTACTTCTCCCCCTGTGAGGAAGGGAGAGAGATTAGAAGCATCCATAATGTTTCCTAGAGGTGATCCATTCTGGGAGTGGCATGGATTCCTTCTGCCTCTAGGAAAGAAAGGGAGACAGGTGGCACCAAGACTCCCTCCTCAAAATAGACTCCTTTTTATTCTTTTTAAAAATGAAGAGAAAATGCAATGACTGGTATGTCCAAAGAGAATTTCTGATTGAAGTTTCCAGTTACCAGCAGGCAGAGCTCTGGTGTGGGACCCCTCCCTGGGAGGTGTGTCATCTTAGATCCCCCTTTTGTTCTTTTGTAATTGATTCTTTTCATCACAGAAATACTACATGCTCATCTTCAACAACAACAAAATGCAGGATGTATAAAGGAAAAGTGTTCTCAACTCTCTCTCCAATCCCACTCAGAGAGAAGAGTTTGATTTGTCTTCCTTTTTTTCTGTGCATTTGCAAACACACACATTCATAAAAATACTCTATTTCTTCATAAACGTCACACACTTTGTTCAGCAGATTGCTTTTTCACTCAGCAATGTATCACTGGTATCTTTCTACAGTAGCACCTAATACTCATCCCCAGTGTTCAATCACGTGATATGTATCATGTAGTATTTAACTAGTCCCTTATATTTAAGTTGTTCTGATTTATTTTGCTACTATAAACAATGCTACAATAAACATTACTATGTAAACATATTTTTGCAAGAATCTTCAGTTATTTTTGAAGGGTAGAATTCTAGTATAATTTTTGGATCAAATTATATGGACATTTAAATTTTGATAGATGCTGTCAAATAACCTCTTAAACATTATAATAATTAACACTCTCCTATCATAATAGAGGAGAGTGACTATTTCCCTTTGAATATTATCAACCTTGAATATTACCTGGTTTTTAGTAAGTGAAAATGGTATCGATTTTAATTTATTGCTGATGAGGGAATATCTTATTTCCCCAAATTTAAAGTCATTTCTGTTTCTTCTTCAATTGCATTTATAACCATTACCATTTTCCTATTGAACACATTTTTAACTTCATCCCTCAAAACGTTACTATTTAGTCCTTTGTTTAGTTTTAAAAATGTGAAGACATAGCCCAGTTTTGAGTCTAAAATATTTGCTCTACATACAATTTTCAGGAACATTTTGGTGTGTGTTAAATTTGTAAGATAAAGGAAAACTGCATTATTTTGTGTTTGCTGTTATGAACTTGGATAGGAATCACAATAGGTATATACTGAAAGAAAGTAGAAAAACAAACATCCCCAAAACTAATGTGAGGCCTGGCACTATTTCCCATTCGCATTTTGTCTCATAGAAAAGTTAGTGCCTTACTGCTTAATCCAAAATGAAAAATCTTGGTTCTGTGGCTTCATCAACTTTCCTATTGTATTGCAGAAAGTATACTTGCAAATCTCTGGAATTATATAAATGAATTTTCACTAAGTAGGTTTCAAAATTGTTATTCTCTTATAGTGCGTTTATCTCTGAAGTGGAAAAGAAACCCAAGATGTTGAACCAAACCAATTTAGATAAGAAACGACTTACGCTCTGTTGGCAGGAGCTGGTATGTGAAAATCTATTTATACTTTTGCAAAGAACTAAAACGTGTGCTTTAAAAATAAACCTCACGGATGAAGCATAGGTCATAGAGCACATGAGGATAAAGTTCTACAGTTGTGTGATATAGAAGAATGGGAAGGGAATAAATAGATGAGTGAGTTGGAGAGGAACTAGCATTTACTGAATGTTTACAAGAATGAGCTAGAAGCCCACCAGCCCTATGTTCTATTCTGATGTAGGACTTGTTCATTTTCTTGACGTTTGTATTTTGTCAAAGGCTGTGGACTCTTTCACTTAACCTTCTGCCTCCTAAGCTGAGAGACAAAAAGACATAACTCAACTACCTCTCCTTGGTGTCCTCCCATTATGAATTGTGTGAAAAGCTGTGAGCACTACCTGAGGGCAGGGCAGTGGCTGGTACCTCTCTGTGCCCTGGAGACCCTGCACAGTGCTGAGTGCCTTAGAGATGTTCGGTCGCTATTGAACGAGTGACGACTGAGAAACGCCAGACCAAGTCAGACCCTGATTATCTCTCCTTGAAACTTCAGTTCCAGCAATGGCACCAAGGGACGTCTTGTTTGAGGCCATGATAATTCTGCAAAATAAAATTACTCAGTGTTTGGCCAGGGACATTTTTAAAGATGTGAATGAGGCCCACAGAGGTTAAATGATTTTATTTAAGGGTCACAGCTGGTTAATCATACGCCAGAGACTAAAGCCCGAGTCTCTGAACACTTGACTCATCCTGCTTTCCAGAACAATAAATGAAGTTTTGTGTCCTCCTCTACTCCAAGGAGGCCAGATTCCCACCGTATGTAAGATCTGCTTCCTACTGAATGTCTTCCTCAGCACCTCTGACTGTCTCTGCGGTGCCCGTCCTCCACAGATAGCCCGCACAGCTCTCTCGTTTCCTGTGTCCGACAGTCCTTGTCCTGAACAAGCCCAAGACTTCCGTGCTTTGCAGTGGCCCAGCTCTCTCTCCGCATTTCCAGCCTCTGGGTGGACACGTCCACTGCTTGCCTCATAGCACCTCTGACTCAGTGTATCCCATGCAGCCCATCATCTGCCCACCGAAGCTTGTTCCCTGTCCTGTATTTGTACCACCAGCCTCACTTGTTGCTCCAATCAGAAGCTTAAGAATCAACTTTGAATCCTGTACCTCAGCGGTCCCCAACCTTTTTGGCACCAGGGACCACTTTCGTGGACAGGATTTTTCCACAGATGGGGGCGGGGGGGGCAGTGGGAGTGGTTCAGGCGGTAATGGGAGCGACGGGGAAAGGCAGATGCAGCTTCACTCGTTCGCCTGCCGCCCACCTCCTGCTGTGCGGCCCGGTGCCTAACAGGCTGCGGACCGCTACCGGTCTACAGCCCGGGGGTTGGGGACCCCTGCTATACCTCACACTAAACGGTCATTTTGACCCCAGGCCAGGTTGAGACCCCGGTCCTTAAAGACTCTGGCACTCACTCCATTCTTCATCCCCAGGACCACTGCCTAACCCGAGTGCTTTAGTGTCTCTGGCCAGGGCTATCACAGTCATCTTCCCCTAGTCCACCTTCCATACCACAGCCAGAATGGTCTCCAAAACAGAAATCTGCTTAGATCTCTCTTGATTAAAAAAACCACTGGAGGGCTTCCCTGGTGGCTCAGTGGTTAAGAATCCGCCTGCCAATGCAGGAGACACGGGTTTGAGCCCTTGTCAGGGAAGATCCCACATGCCGCGAAGCAATTAAGCCCGTGCGCCACAACTACTGAAGCCCACGCGCCTAGAGCCCGTGCTCTGCAGTGAGAAGCCCACGCACCGCAACGAAGAGTAGCCCCCGCTCACTGCAACTAGAGAAAGCCTGCGCGCAGCAACAAAGACCCAACACAGCCATAAATAAATAAATTTATTAAAAACAAAAGATTGGAGTTTCCCAGTTGTTCATAAGATAAATTCCTCTGTGCACGATATACAGGGCTGTTCACCATCTTGTCCCAGCCTAGTCTCCCAGCCTTGTCTCTCGTTGCTCCCTTCCCATGTATCTATGTGCCAATGATTCTGAACCCTCACTGATTACGTGCCTTCATATGTAATTGTTCCTTCCAACTGGACTGTACTTTTTCTTCTTATCATCTGATGAATTCAATGCATTTTTTGCTCAGCACAAATATCATATTATCCATAAAACCTGGCTTTGGCCCCTCTGGTCCCATGATGCATTACACATTTTAGTTATTTGCATATATTGCTTTCACCTCACCAACTGTCAAAGTCTCAAGGAAAGGAAGCTTGAGTCCTCCTCTTGTCCCAGGCCTTGGCTCCTGGGATAGTGCCTGGTGCATAGCAGGTATTCAGGTCCTCTAATCAGAGGGCTTCTTCGGTGCCAGGCCCTGTGCTGGGTGCTGGAGACACAAGGCTGTCAGTACTTCGTGCTTGTTCTTGAGGAATTTATTGACTGGTCTGTTCATTTCACAAACATTTATTTAACACCCGCTATGTGCCAGGAACTCCACCAGACTCTCAGTGTTCAAGGTAAGAACAAGACCGAGGGGCCCCCTGTCCTTGCAAAGTTAACATTTGAGTGGGGAAGACAGAAGATAGATAACAAAAAGTAAATAAAAACGATTACAGGTTATGATTATGAAGGGCATTTTTTTTTTTTTTTTTTTTTAATGAAGGGCATTTTAAAAGGCCATGGTGATTGGGAAAATGTGGGAGAATATATGACAGTGGTATCATGGCAGTGGAGACCTGAGGAGAAAACAGCCATGCAGAGTCTAGGGAGAACATGTGGTCAAGAGGAACCTTAAGCATCCCAGTCTTGAGGAGGGAGCTGGGCGTGTTTTAGGACCTCCTGAGGACCAGTGTGCCTGAGGCCCAGTGAGTGAAGCACTCCAAGATGAAGCAGCCAGTGGGCAGGACCCACTCATGCAGGGCCTTAGAAATCACTGCAAAGTGTTTGGTTTTTCTTTTTTTCCCTAAGAACATGAATGCAGGCTGAATGAATGAATCAAAATAAACACTTTTAGATGTTCCAACCACGCACACAGATCTCCCTGGTGCCTCTCTCCAATGATGCCAACTTGGTCTGGAAGCATCTACTGTGCCTCCGGGGAGAGGTGGTGAGAGCAGTGATGAAGGACATGGCCTCTGGACCCAGCAGGGGGTCAAGTCCAGCTCTGCCTCTCAGTAGTTGCATGACTCTATTTCCTCTGCTGTAAAATGGGAATGATAGTACCTACCCCGTAAGGTCGCTGTGAGGAGTCCTAAGGGTTAATACAGCAGATATAACATTGCCCCGTGCAGAGTAAGAGCTCAATCTATTTTAGCTGTTGTTGTTGTCAGTATCAGGAAGCCTAGATTCAGGTCTTGACTAAAGAGCTATGGGACCTGTGACAAACCTCTGGCTTCTCTGGGCCTCAGCTTCTCGTCTGTCAAATGAAGCTGAGATAATATTCACTGTCCCCATAGTCCTACCAAGTTGCTGTTAATGGGCAGCGTGCCCCATAGCAGAGCCTGAAACAGCCCTCATGAGTGTCTCAGCATGGAACTTACAAGCACTTTCAGGAATCTCCAGCAACAGGACCGTGCTCGCTAACCAGATTTCTAGAAAGATCTACACCGACTCTTGTTTTGTTTTAGGAGGCCATAGCCAAGGAGGCCAAGGGGCTCACTCAGCAGCAGAAGAAAAAGTTATCTCTTGATGAAATGATCCAGGCGGCCCAAAACTTTGTGGAAAAAATCCGCTTTCTTGTGGATGAGGTAATCAACTATAAAGGCAAAGGTCATTTGGAAGATGAGACCGAATATCTTCCCAGTGGGGCTTGAATGTTTGATAAGAATGAAAGATGAGCAGTGTTTTCTCTCAAGCCCTGCTGAGCTGAGCAGGTACCATTCGCTTGAAGGGTGAAGGAGGGGGTTTTAAATTAAGCCAAACATGTACGGCTTTATTGATTTTTTCACGAAGCCTGAGTATTCAGCCGAAATAAAAAGCACATTGCTAAATAATAATTATAATAAAGCACACTCCTTAATAGGATCAAGAAGAGTCAAAATAAACATGGGATCTTTGATAGGTTTTTAACTGCAAGCAAATTGAAACTCATGTCCAGTAAAAGTTAAAACAGCTTCTCATTTTAAAGTTAATTGTAAGCAATATCTTCTGGTGACTACCAGAATGATCTAAAAAAAGTCCTCGTATTTGCTTCTGTTAAATACTAGGTTTTGTGGCGGAAGTTTTCAGGGAGAGGTACAGATTTACTGCTTCTGTTGTCCTTGAAAGCTTTTTTTCCTGTTGCAAATTCATTATTCCCTGGAGGCATAACAAACAAGCTGTGAGATAGTCACTTTGGAATGCAGGGATTTTAATAAGCACCCAGAAGGTTCAAACTAGGTCTGTGACTGACTGACCGTGTGGCCAGAAAACCTCCACAAGGATGTCTCTGTTTCCATGTCAAGAGAGAAGGGATGCCTTCTTAGGGTACCAATTACACTAGAGGATTATGGGGTTAGAAAAAGTATCTGCTTCCAGTCCGAGAATGTCAAAGCCTAGTTTATGACAATATGCCTCCCTTTTGTTTTGGAAGCTATACTGGCTCAGCAATGTGCATTTCAAACACTCACAACATAATGGGCCTCTTGGCAGGGAATCCTGCAATTCTTATCTTGATTAGCTCAACTTTAAAGTCTAATTTTCTGTGCAATTGAGTGCTGTTTCTCCTGAATAAACACCTATAATGGAGCGAAAATACTTAGCAATTATATTTTAGGTATAAAATCCCTTGTAAAATTGTTTTTCCTTCCTTCAGAGCGGATGGAAAGACATCCAAAGACGTTCATGGATTTTTGTTTTTGGTGTTTCATTTGAATGTTCTGGAAATGTTACCTGGCTCTTAGGAGGTCCAATGCTGGAAGCCAAATCATGATTACAAGATTGCAAAGAAAAACTCCATGGGAAGGAGGAGCAAACGTTTGTTCTGCAGATGGAGAAAAATAGGCCACCAGAGATGCCAAGTCACGGGTCCGACTTGCATATTGTCAAAGCATGATAAGCAGTTGGGCGTATGGGGCTTCCGTGACCTAAGACTTTCTCAAAGAAGCCACGCTTAACTTGCTCGGTTGCACAGGTGTTTCAGTACCCAGAAAGTTTAAGTCACAGAACTTGTTGTGCAGAAGGGGTGCTGGTGCAGGATAGGAGAACCCTGGGGGTGCTGTGTGAACACCCACCTCTCAAATCCATCCCCTCCTTCTCCACAGCCACAGCACACCATCCCTGACATCCTCATCTGGATGCTGAGCAACAGCAGGAGGGTGGCATATGCCCGCATCGCCGCCAAGGACTTGCTCTATTCCCCCATCAGGAAGCAGATGGGTCAACACTGCGGGAAGATCAAAACTCACTTCCTCAAAGTAAGTCTGTACTATTTTTTTTTTTTTTCTGATCAGACTCTTTTTATTGTCTTTTTTATGAATGGGTCCCAGATGGCAAGGGAAGAGCTGGCTCCTGGCTTCTAGGCCAGTTTCTCAGGGAGCCCCATGCATCATTGCTGAGAGGGAAGAGACTCCTCCCTGCTCCTCTCTGCTCAGCCCTCATTCACCAAGGGGAGGGGCTCTTGCTCAGGCTCCTGGCCCAGGGACACGCCCTTCCCCATGGAATTTCTGGTATTTCATCAAAGGTCATAGTCTGTACTATTTTTGACTCAAGGATGGGAACCTCTGTTTTTCCTGGGTTGCACGGCATTCCTAGTGTGTGTCCAGATCTCTGACTTGACGCTAAGACTTTCAAAAGTCTGAGGACAACTAGAACATCTTGCCCCCTCTTGATTCAAGGAGACCATCCTGGGGCTGAATATTTTCCAATTTTCCAATAACTATGTCACCAGAGACATATAAGGTGTTTTTTTAAAAATCTAGTGCAGATATCTTAAGGTTATTTTAATTTTTACTTCTTTGATTACTAAGAAGAATGAACGTTTTTTCTATTAGTTTTCTCTCTACTTTTCTCTTGAGTAATTTATCTATGGCATCATTTTACACGAGTTCATCTATATTTTAAAAATAGACTTCAAAGAAAATTACAAGAGGAGGGGTTGCTCTTCCACAGAACTGCTAGTTCAGGATTCCTGGCGGCTTTACACTGTAAAGATATGATAGTCTTTTCATCTTGGGTCCCTGCACCATTCATGAACACAGGCTCATAGGCACAATCTCTGGATAGATCCTACTGTCTTTAAATCAAAATTTGAGCCTTTCCTGGAGACCCTGGGTATTTTACCTCTACTACAAAGACATTTCTATCCCAGGAGAGAATTTGAGCAAACATGGAGAAAGACTGGTCCAAAAGCTTAACACTCACCAGTGGCAACAAGAGCGTGTGATTTGACTGATTAACTTTCCCAACTCACAGTGGGCTGTCCTGCCAATCTGAGTTCTGATTATTTGCTACAACATAATTATTCTTCCACTACCTTAGAAGGAGGATGAGAAGGCTCAAAACCATGCCATGTGAAGAATAGGTGAGGAGATGACAATGTTTAACTAGAAGAGAGATTTGACAGCATGATAGAGATTTTGTGTTCGTAGGGCTTCCACGTGGATGGTGGGATGATTGTGTGTGTGTGTGCGCACGCACGTGTGTGTTTCCAGAGGCTAGAACTGGGCCCCACGAGAGACATTACAGGGAAATAGTTCCCTAAATGGAGGTCCACAATGTGTTCTTTCTCCCCTTGGTATGAATATGGCAGTGGGCAGCTAGATTAGACAGCCTCAAAGCGCATCCGATGCCTAGAGTCTACTGTTGATGTGATTGTTATGGGGGGCAGACAGAAGAGGCATTACAGGGTACTGGTTTAATACTTGAGCTTTGAAATAAGGTGAATCTGGGTTGGAATTTGTATTCGTTTACTAGGGCTGTTGTAACAAAGTGCTACCGTGTGGCTTAAACCACAGAAGTTTATTATCTCCCAGTTTTGAAGGCTGGAAAGCTGACACAGAGGGATTGGCAGGGCCGTGCTCCCTCTGAAGGTGCTGGGGAAGCATCTCTTTTAGCTTCTGGTAGCTCCTTGGCTTGTGGGAGCATAACTCCAATCTTTATATCATGTTCTCCCTGTGTGCACGTCTCTTTTCCTATGATGTCCTTTGTGCACGTCTCTTTTCCTATGATGTCCTTTTTATAAGAATCCTACTCCAGAATGAGCTCATGTTAACTCTGTCTGTAATGACCCTATTTCCAAATAAGGTCATATTCTAAGGTACTAGAGGTTGGGACTTCAACATATGCATTTGAGGGGAATACAATTTTACCTCTTAGTGAATTCCAGGGCTAATATTTAGGAGCTGTATGACTTGGGGAATGGTACGTAACATCTCTGTGTCTCCTGTTCTTCATCCTTCAAATAGGGATGTGATGTTGAGGATTAAGTGGATAACTGCACATAAAAGAACACAGAGTGTACGTCCGCCGGGGTCATCACGCAATAAATGTTGGCATTCAAACAAATGGAAATCCAACATCTAGGGGACATTTCTGGCATTGTGTGCCCCCTTCACATCCAGGGAAGTGTTTGTGGTTCTGTATGTTAGATGTTATGGAAAACCCCGAATGAACTTTTTGGCCAACCCAATATTTTCTGTCATATGTACAAAAGGATTTTTAAACCCACCTCTGTAAAACTGTAACTGAAAAAGAAAAACTCACCCTAGTTATTCACCACAAATATTTCTTCAGCTTTCTCATTCCAAGGAATTCTGGGGTTGAAAGAAACACCTGTCTTAAAAATAGCAAATCATTTCAGAAAGCCCTGTGCTAAAAATAAGAGAAAACCGGCATAAAGTTATTCCTTCCTAAATATTTTGATGTATCCCAGAATTATTTAAAATTAGAACAGAGAACAACTGTCAACTAAAGCCAGAGAATAGACCTAACTGGGAATTCAGGACCTTTGCCCTGTGGCCTTGGCTTACTTCTTTATCTGGATTTTCCTTTTGTCATTGGGATTGCTTTGGGTGATAGCTTTGTAAATGTTGAACATGTTGTTCGATTGTCCTGACATGATGAAACATCTTGATAAGATGAAAACTATTTTCATTCCAGTTCTGATTGTTACCCCTGCTTTTTTTTTTTTTTTTTTTCCCCCCATTTCTCTTCCCTCTTGCGTCTCCCTCCCTCCCACCCTCCCTATCCCACCCCTCCAGGCGGTCACAAAGCACTGAGCTGATCTCCCTGTGCTATGCGGCTGCTTCCCACTAGCTATCTACCTTACGTTTGTTACCCCTGCTTTTAACTCCCTCCCGCCACCTCCCTTTAGGCCCTGTTTCTCTTCACTGAATTGGTGAATCTGAAAAAAGCAAGAGCTGCTTCAGGGAGACAAAGGATTCACCCACCTGCTGCTCACTCCGGTTTCTTAACGGGGAATTAGAAAGTGCAGTGAGGCAAAGCACAGAATGTAAATCTCTCAGATCTCTAGATTTTTTCCAGAGTCGCCTCAAAGTTTGTTGCACAGAACAGCTGTCCTTTGAGTGGCACCATAAACACCTCGTGTTCAAACACGTTTAGAGGCTGCCGTTGTATCCCCCTCTTGGAGTTTCAGTGCCCGTCACCCAGTGGAAAAGTCAACGTCCTGCAGTCAGGAATCATCTTTTATGACCCATGCTTGTCAACCTTATTCATCTCGAATAGCTATTTACAAATTTTAGGAAACTGCTATGCCTAGGGGGCCCAGGTTGAGGGAATATTAATTAATCTAAAGGAAACAAAACTGCCTCACCTGAAGTCACATGGCTAGGTAATAGTAAATCTGGAACGGCAATCAGGTTTTCATGGTCCCTGTTCCAGGATCTTTCTTTCTCTCTAATCTAAATATATTCATAATGTTACTAAAAATGCTGCAACAGAATTTGCTGAGCTCAGCCTAATCCACCATCCAGAAAAGCAGAATTCTCCCCCTTCAGTCTCAGAAAAGGACATTCATTCTAAAAGGAAACTCTTCCTGTGGAAGATGGATGCAGCGGCCCAATCTTCTTTTTTCTCTTGAGTCACCTCTTGTGCTGAGTCCGCCACTCCTCAGTCTCGTTTCCACCTCTATCCTGGCTTCTGCTTCACAGCCCTGAGTCCAGACTCTTCCTCTCAGGCCTCCAGGTTTCCATCCAGCTTTCCCTAGGATGCAGCAGAAAGTGGTAGCTGCAGACACCCTTCCAGGTCCTGCCTCAAAGTGAAGTCTGTACAAGGCAAACACACCTTTCCCACACTAATATCGATGGGCCAACTTCAACACAGTTTGTGTGAATGACCATCTTTCTCTCCTTTTTCTGACTGGCCAAGATTTCCCTTCTTTTGTAAGACAGCTGGCATTTCACCAGGACCCCGGAGGGGAGGTGGGTGGGTTACAGGAGAGGCTAAGACTTTAGCGTTCTGTCTCGTGCAGTTTTTACATATTGGTGATCATACTTTTCTGACGCAATTTTGCATTCTTTAAATTTTTTTTTTTTTTTCTCTCTCTCTCTCTCTCTTTCCCTCCCTGCCCTGCCATGCTATTCTTAAAAGGAAAGAAGTTGCTCTGGTTGGTCAGGCTTCAGGAGCACATGAGAGCAAGGGGAGAGCGGGGGAGGGGAAGGCAGGGAAGACAGCTGAGGCTGGAAATGCACGTGAAGTGAAACGTGGGTTGTTGTTTCTGCGAGCACCTAGGAAGGTGCTCAGTGATGGTGCGTGAGTCCCAACTTGGATTCCTAAGTGAGAGACTGCATTGTCTTGCAAACAATTTCAAGGTGTGTATTTTTAAAAAGATGTATAAACGGCAAACTTTAGGCATGCAGCCATGGTCCTTGTATAACGTTTTCACAAGATGTTAGCTGAGTTTTGGTTTCTAGCCATGAATTCACATATACAGGTTGTTTTCATAGCAGTAGAGATGAAGGACGTTTTGTGTTTTTGTTTTACTTTAAGAAGCAAAGGATATTGGACCTGCTTGGGGGCAACACAGCATAGTTAAGAGTCTTGCTACTCAAACACTTAAAACTGTGGTCCATAGACCAGCAGGATAAGCACCAACAGGGAGAAATCTCAAATCCTACCCCACACCTGCTGAGTCAGAATTTATATTTAAACCAGATGCCCCAGCAGTTCACATGCACGGGTACACGTACCACTGTATGAGGAGCTTGGGCCAAGAGGATGGGCTCTGGAGCCAGGTAGAGCAGGGTTGAGTCTTGGCTCTATCCCTGCCTGGCTTTGTGACATTGGACAATTGTCTCAACCTCTCTGAACCTCCACTTCTTCATCTTTAAAATACACATAATGAAAGAATTTATTTTACAGTCGTCATGAAGATGAATGATAACCTATTGCTTGTTAATAGTATGCAAGTAATAGGCCGTTCTGTGTGTAGGGAGGAACATTAGACCAGGGCCTGGGACAATGTAAGTGCTCAGCACATGTAAAATATTATTATTAGAAAAATAAATAAATAATTCAACAAATATTTTCCGAGTGCTTCCTGAGTGCCAAGTACTATTTTAGGCACTGGGGACATCACTGTGATATGACAGTCAAACATCCTGCCTTTGTGAATTGATGTCCTTGGGATGTGTACAGATGGCAGAGGGATTGCTTTTATTACAACAAAATAACCTTAGGCTCTCAATAGCTATTTGTTTGATTGAACAAGTGCTCAATGCATTTTAGCTATTTTCATTTTTATTGTGGAAGTGATGAATTGAGGGTGTTTTGTCTTATTATAATTTTTAAAACGATGAGTTGCACACTGGTTGTCTTTACTAACAGCAAAATGACCTTAGTTGTTTCTTTTTTTAAAACTTTTTGGAAGTATCACTTTTTTTTTTTTTTTGGCTGCATTGGGTCTTCGTTGCTGCGCGTGGGCTTTCTCTAGTTGTGGCGAGCTGGGGCTACTCTTTGTTGAGGTGCGTGGGCTTATCATTGTGGAGGTTTCTCTTGTTGTGGTGCACAGGCTCTAGGCGTGCGGGCTTCAGTAGTTGTGGCACGTGGGCTCAGTAGTTGTGGCTCACGGGCTTAGTTGCTCCGCAGCATGTGGGATCTTCCTGGACCAGGGCTCGAACCCGTGTCCCCTGCATTGTCAGGCGGATTCTTAACCACTGAACCAGCAGGGAAGCCCCCTTAGTTGTTTTTGTTTTGTTTTGTTTTGTTTTTGCGTTACGCGGGCCTCTCACTGTTGTGGCCTCTCCCGCTGCAGAGCACAGGCTCCGGACGCGCAGGCTCAGCGGCCATGGCTCACAGGCCCAGCCGCTCCGCGGCATGTGGGATCTTCCCGGACCGGGGCACGAACCCGTGTCCCCTGCATCAGCAGGCGGACTCTCAACCGCTGCGCCACCAGGGAAGCCCCCCCTTAGTTGTTTTTTTAAAGCTGAATAAATAATGGCATCCTATTCCCTAAAGAATAAAATCTAAACTCCTCCGTATACTCAGCAGGATTCTGCAGCCTCATCTGTGTCATTCTCTGTTCCAGCTTTTTCTCTGCTGAAAGCTCTTAGCAAATCTGTCCCTGGCACCAAGTAAGCGCTCACTAAACGTCAGCCCTAATCACCACAGTTAGCTCCTGCCTCTGTATCTCTGTTCAGGCACTTCCCTCCTCCTGGGATGCCTTCTCTACGAGTCCAACTCCAAAGTACTTATTAAAGCCTACTGGAATATGTGAGTATTAAAGAAAGGATGGATATACCTGCTTCTCCTCTGGTCCTGTGGCATCTTCTCTCTTACACTTGACCTTGCATTTGAGTAAGTGAATGCAAGTCGGCCTCCCTGTCTAGATGTGAGCTCTTGGAAGGGAAGCCCAGGACTGTGTCGCAGTCATTGTGAGGCCCTTCTGGCCCCACTCCCTCAGCAAGGTCTGGTGGCACTTGGTAGTAGCTGAACTGAGTTGCTCACAGTCCTCTTGGGGAACTCACAGAGCAAGACAGGAAGGCAGGCCAAGAACCAGGCACAGTTTGGGGTTCTGGGGCTTTCCACGGGTGCCTGGGAAATTGTCAGAGCAAGTGGTAGCCTCTCCCAGTGGGATTTTGTGATTCTCCATGGAAAAGAAGTGGTGCAGAAGAAAGGGGAATTGTGCATTGATGGGAAATCCTAGGAAACACTAAGAAGAGGCACTTAGAAGAGTCGACGAAATCTGGAGAGGTGGCCACTTTCCGAGCGAAAGCCTTGCCAGAAATCCTGCACCCAGACAAGTCTGGGGCCTGAGGTTCCTTAGATGGGGGTGAGGAGTCCCCTAATCCTGGTGACGGAGAAATAAAGGAGCCGCTCTGCATTGAGTTGTGCCCTTCACATGTTGAGAACGCACGCACCCACACGCCACACACACACTACTGCACACATAAACACAAATTCAAACAAACATAAATATAAATACAAATCCGAGTACATTCAAAGGAGGGAAAGCAGGGTAGCAAGGGAATTTGAAACCACACTGCGTGAGGGAGGGGTGAAGGGATGAGAGGTGTCTAGCAGGAAGAAACAACGTGGTAGGGCAGGTAGATGCCCTGAAGCCCACGGGGGCCTGACCTATGGAAGAAGAATTCGAGTTCTCCTGAGCAAAGCAAAGAAGCAGAGGCTGTGGTTGGAACTCAAGGCAATTGGAAGTTCTGGGAAGGGGGATTTCAACTCAGTGTGGGGAGAAGCAGGCTGTGAGCATTCAGAGTCCAGAGCCCACATCTGGTATCATCTCCCCTGGTTCGAGTCCTGGCTCTGTCACTTAAAAACTGAGTAATCTTAGGAACTTATTTAGCCTCTCTGAGCCTGAGTTTTCTCATCTATAAAATGGGTAATAACCATACCTACCTGTTAGGTTTAAATGATCACACAGGGCCTGTTTGAGCTTCAGGCCCCATTAAACCTGGATCCTCCTCTAAAACTGTGCATCGTGGCAACTGGGGTCATTGGTCTCATTTTAATAGGAGCCCCAGGGAAGGACCTCTTTTCTCAGAGAGTGAGGCCCACAATGGCTTCTACTAATGAGGGGGTCTCTTCCTTGTAACCTTTCCCCAGCTTCCTGGAAAACAGCCGGCTGGTTGGTCGATGCAAGCAAAAATTGACGTGTACATGTGGCTGGGCTCCACCAGACACTCTAGTGCCATTTTGAACAACTTACCAGCAGGCTATGAAGCAGAAATGTCCTCCGAAGGGGCTGGCATCAGTAAACCCCCAGCTAACCTGCTCTACCAAGGTATGATGCCCACTGGGCCAAGAGGGTCATAAGATGTGTCTGGTGGGCTTCTGAGGGGTGGCATTCATGAGCTGTTTGCACATTATTTTAGGATCAACTTATTTGCCTCTTTTAATACAGTTTCTAAGTTTTCTTTCTGACCTTCCAATGTCCCATCTAAAGAATAAAGTGAAGTTATTAAACATCTGGAATAAATATTTATATTTTTCTGTTAATGGAGAGAATGCAATATGAGCTTCTTCGTTAGCAGACTATATAGATTGAGTTTGCATTTAAAGCAAAAGATGTCTTTTTTGGGGCTTCCCTGGTGGTGCAGTGGTTAAGAATCCGCCTGCCAATGCAGGGGACACGGTTTCGATCCCTGGTCCGGGAAGATCCCACATGCCGCAGAGCAACTAAGCCTGTGCGCCACAACTATTGAGCCTGTGCTCCAGAGCCCACGAGCCACAACTACTTAGCCCACGTGTTACAATTACTGAAGCCCGTGTGCCTAGAGCCTGTGCTCTGCAACAAGAGAAGCCACCACGATGAGAAGCCCACGCACTGCAACAGAGAGTAGCCCCTGCTCGCCATGCTAGAGAAAGCCCGCATGCAGCAACGAAGACCCAATGCAGCCAAAAATAAATACAATTTAAAAAATAATAAAGCAAAAGATGTCTTTTAAAGAGACATCAGTAAGTTCTTGTGCTCATAGGACCTGTGGAATTAAAGCAGATTTCCTTTTACATGGCATTGGGGTTTTGACCCATGAACAGCAGCCATTTACATTTCCCAGTAATGACTCAGTAGAAACTGGTATCATTGGGGTCACTCATGTTTCTCTAGCTTGGTTCTTGGGTTGGCTACTTTTAGCAGTTCAGCATGGTTTATGTAATCCTCTCTTCTACGTAGGTATTTGCTATGAGTGCCATCATATTTACATTTCCATATAATTTTGAACTTTAGTCTAAGCATTAATGCCTTACAGTTTCATTTTGCTTTCTGTTTCCAAATTGCTTCAATTTGCATGATCCTTGCTGCTGAATTCAGATAGGGTAGAACAGTTTTACCTTCACTTCAACTGAAGTTGAGTTTTTTTTTTTTTTTTGAAGTTGAGTTTTGAATTGAGCCAGTGTCTGAAACACTGGAGGACTGTCTACAAATCCAGGTTTCCCGTGTTGCACAAGGCTCCTCTGATGTTGACTGAACTTGACTGCCAGTGGAACCTAAATGGCTTAATACTTAAAGACAGAGTTCTAGAGATATTTATCCAATGGTTCAGCTGGTGGTTTCCATGCCCAATATCAATGCGTAAGAACAAGGAAAACTCAGCTCTGTCTCTTTGAAAAATGCACGACCCCTACCATATGCCAAGCATTGTGCCAGACACTTTACACATAGGATTTGATTTATTTCTTACACCAACCTTGGGTGGTTTCTTCATTCTACAGGTGGAGAAAGGATGTATTGGAAGTGTTTAGAAATTGCCCAAGATCACACAGCTAGTAAATGATGGAACAAACTGTCTCCAAACTCTTCTTTATTTCCACTGCTTTCCATCCTGTCTTTAGAGTTTTCATCTTTGGATGAAAACACCCACATCAAGTTACCTTTTTATTTCTATAGACACTATCTCTAGAGACCCAAGGTACCTGGACATATTTGCTGTCCCAGCTACTAACGATTCAGAGGAGAGGAAAGGCTTTTTCCAAAGCTTTCTGACCCTCTGCAGCATGTTCTTTTCATGGAATGACCTAATAAACTTGCTCGGCTGTGCCCTGACATTAATGGCTTTGGCTGCCTTCCACACCTCCTGGAGAATTTCCTTTCTGCGTTCATTTTATGCTTCAGAACATATCCATTCAACCAATAATTAGTTTGCACCTGCATATGGAAGGTACGGTGGGAAAACTAGTGGGGAATGAGGAGTGGTGGGAGAGGTGATCCTGGCCCTCCAATGGGGGCAATCAGACGTGTCTCTAATAACCACACGTGGAAAGTGAGCCGCAGCACAGAGATGGGCCAAAGTATGGGAGCAAAGAGGAAGCTGGCTTTACTAGTCTAAGGGACAGAGCTGGTAAGACTCAAGGTTTCAGAAAAACAAAAACCTAGACCAAGTCAATGGCGACCCCTGGAGGTGTGCAGTGTCCTGCCTATGTGGTTGTATTGGGAGCTCTGCTAAAATTCTGGGGTGACTCACTTCAGGGACAGCTTGTGGATGATCTCAGGGAATGAGCTATTCTCAAGTTCACTCCCAGCTGAGAAATTTGCCCACTTATGTAGTGTGTTAAGGAACGCTTAGAGAGCGTGGGCTCTCCTGACATACCCTGGTCAGGAAATTCCTCAACCCTCTGCTGAATGTTCCTTTGTTAACTGTCACCCTTTTAAGGAGCTCTCTTGGGTAAGAGGGTAAAAGGGAAAAACACTTTCAACAGTTTTTGTTAAAGCATTTATCTCCCTTTATTCCACATGATATGTTTATATCACTATTTCTTGATTTTACATTTAACACATAACTACTCATTGTGAAAGATGAGGATTTACCTCTGTAACTTATCCAAGCTTTTATCTCCTTGTTCCAATTTTAAATAGATAGTTCTGTTGCTTCACGTTTTTCTTGATTCAATGCAATCTCAATTAAAATCCCAGCAAGTTGTTTTGTGGATATCAACAAACTGATTCTAAAGTTCATGTGGAGAGGCAGAAACCCAGAAGAGTCAACACAATATTAAGAACAAAGTTGGAAGACTGACACTACCCGACATCACGACTTACTATAAAGCTACAGTCATCAAGACAGTGCAGTATTAGCAAAAGAATAGACAAATAGGTCAGTGGAACACAATAGAGAGCCCAGAAATAAACCTACATAAATATATTCAGTTGATCTTTGACAAACAAGCGAAGGCAATACAATGGAGCAAGCATAGTCTTTTCAACAAATGGTGCTGGAACAACTGGACACACACATGCAAAAATATAAATCTAGACATCGAACTTACGACATTTGCAAAAGTTAACTCAAAATGGATCATAAACCTAAATACAAAATGCAAAACTATAAGACTCCTAGAAGATAATATAGGAGAAAACCAAGATGATTTTAAGTATGGCAATGATTTTTTAGATACAACACCAAAGGCATGATCCATGAACGAAATAATTTTTTTTTAAAAGAGGGTAAAAGGGAACAAATGAATATAAAAAGCAAGAGGGGCCAGGCAAGGGCCAAGGATCATAAAGTCCATGAAACAAGGCATATGATTAACTCAACTCTTCTTTGGGGTTCCCCCACTGAACCCTGGTCTGCCCCACCTGCAGCCCTGTCTCTGCCTCCCATCCCGTCAACCAGGTGTGCTCACTCCTGCCTTTAACCTCCCATGTCCTCTGCCTGTATCTCCTGCAGGACACTTAGCTCTGGCTCCTGTTACTGGGATTAGGGCACTTGCTTATCTTCTGCCCCGTCCCTGGAGCTCCCCAAGGTCAGGGGCTGTCTTAGCTGCTTCAGAATCCTCAGAGGCCAGAACTGTGCCTGGTATACTATAGGTGCTCAAAATGACACTGGCTGGCTGAATGGCAGAATGGATGGATGGATGACTCAAGACTTTACTGAGTTTATGGAAGCAAAAATGAAGAAATGTCCCCCTTTCTTATACACACACACCATTGGAAACAGGAGGTTTTACTAAGAGGTGAAATGTGGTATTTTTAAATTTTTTATTGAAGTATCATTGACTTACAATATGATATCATTTTCAGGTGTACAGCACAGTGATTCAGTATTTTTGCAGATTATACTCCATTATAAGTTATTACAAAATAATGGCTATAATTCCTTGTGCTGTACAATGTATCCTGTTGCTTATCTATTTCATACATAGTAGTCTGTATCCGTTCATCACATACCCCTAATTTATCCCTCCCCCATCCCTCTCCCCTTTGGTAGCCACAAGTTTGTTTTCTATGTCTGTGAGTCTGTTGCCGTTTTGCATATAGATTTTTAAAATGTGGTATTTTAGGAAGAGATTTGGATTTTGGAATCTGACGGAAATGAAATCCAGGCTCTGGAATTAGTTAGCTCTGAAAACTTGGAAATGTATTTTAGCCTTTTTAGGAACCATTTCCCTCATCTGTAAAATGAAGATAATGATATATATGTCACGGGGTTGTTTCGTTATGAAGATTAAATCCCACAATGTGGTGAATGCACCAAGGAGAACGCCTGGCTCCAAAGTGCCCATGAACGTGACCTCTTCCCCCATCTTCCCTGTGTCCATTTTGGTCTAAGAGGCCCAGTGCCCGTGGTCTCCTTTGTCTGTCTCCGGAAACACCCACAGGTGAGCATCACACACAGACACCCACTCGCACTCACTGTTCCTCGGAAGCCTGCTAATGCCACCCCTTCCCGTTATTTGTCCACAGACCGGCATGTCTTCCAGCTGAGAGCTCACATGTACCAAGCCCGGGGCCTCATCGCAGCCGACAGCAACGGACTTTCAGACCCTTTTGCCAAGGTCACATTCCTTTCCCACTGCCAGACCACGAAGGTAACCAGGGGAGCCCACTTGCTTTCTCCCCGCAGCCCACAGCCGAGCCACAGCAGAACCCTAGGAAAGAAAAAAACAGGGGCACGTTGCAAATACTTGTGTCTCTGGGTGTGTAGGTGTTTCAGGGTTTCAGACTCAAAAGCATGGGCACAAGGCAGGCCAGACATTGGAAAGGTCTGCTGATCCAATGTGATCTGCTGTCGTGAAGCCAAGAGGGCAAGTAACAGAGTTGAAGGAAGGGAGGGAGGAAAAGAGGGGTGAGGGAGAACGGGATCTGGCACCCAGAGCACCTGCTGGAGTGATGGGCACCATGCCAAGCTCAGTGGGATGAACAAACAGTTCAGACGACTTGCATGAGGCTTCTGGTGCAGTCTTTGCTGAGGGGTCTTGGTGGGGAGGAAAGCTTTCCTGCTCTGCAGTCAGGAAGCCCTAGACTTTGTACTTCTAGCTGGGGGACTTTGTGCACTTTTAACACCTGTGTGATTCAGTGTCTCTCTCTGGAAAATACTACTTCTAGACAGACGCTGTGAGGATTAAAGGAGATGGATCTATACCTGTTTCCTTGGCTTTCTCCCTTTCCTGTACATTGAGTGGGGACATGTGAAAAGGGGCCCTAATGAGCGCACATCCAATAGGCTGCTTTTCTCATTAGATCGTATTCTCTAAGGATTTACTCTGTTCTCTGAGGATTCACTGTTCTGAGGGAGGGAAGCTCCGTAAAGGATTTGCCCACCTCTGGGAGTTAGGACAGAATTAAGACACAAAGAGACCTGACCTCATGTTGTACCTCATCTACTCTCTAGCTGCCTTTACTCACTAAACCTCAGTTCGTCTTCTTAAAATAGGGCTGTTGAGAAGAAGCAAAAAGTTAAGTGTACAAAGAGATTGATGAGTAGTGGCCATTACATTGGCTGACGTTAAGAGGGCTGACATTCCTCCCCAAAGTGAGGCCGTGACCTGGGAGATGGTGTTTTGATTGATGACACTCAGGTTGGGAGCATAACGTGAGCTAGCATCTTGTCAATTTCACCAGCACACGTGGCGCGCTTGCTCTGTGCCAGGTCCCATGCTGGGCTCGGGGGAGCTGGGGGACCAGACTCTGCTCTTTTTTTTTTTTTTTAACAGAACTTTACTGGAGTATAATTGCTTCACAATACCGTGTTAGTTTCTGTTGCACAACAAAGTGAATCAGCCATATGCATACACATGTCCCCATATCTCCTCCCTCTTGAGCCTTCCTCCCACCCTCCCTATCCTACCCCTCTAGGTCATCGCAAAGCACCGAGCTGATCTCCCTGTGCTATGCGGCTGCTTCCCACCAGCCAACTATTTTACATTCCGTAGTGTATATATGTCGATGCTACTCTCACTTCGCCCCAGCTTCGTCCTCCCACCCCATGTCATCAAGTCCATTCTCTATGTCTTCCTCTTTATTCCTGCCCTGAAACTAGGTTCATCAGTACCATTTTTTTTTTTAGATTCCATATATATGTGTTAGCATATGGTATTTGTTTTTCTCTTTCTGACTTAACTTCACTTTGTATGACAGACTCTAGGTCCATCCACTTCACTACAAATAACTCAGTTTCGTTTCTTTTTATGGCTGAGTAATATTCCATTGTATAAATGTGCCACATCTTCTTTATCCATTCATCTGTCAGTGGACATTTAGGTTGGTTCCATGTCCTGGTTATTGTAAATAGTGCTGCAGTGAACATTGTGGTGCATGTCTCTTTATGGTTTTCTCAGGGTATATGCCCAGTAGTGGGATTGCTGGGTCATATGGTAGTTCTATTTTCAGTTTTTTAAGGAACCTCCATACTGTTCTCCATAGTGGCTGTATCAATTTACATTCCCACCAACAGTGCAGGAGGGTTCCATTTTCACCACATCCTTTCCAGCATTTATTGTTTCTAGCTTTTTTGATAATGGCCATTCTGACTGGTGTGAGGTGATACCTCACTGTAGTTTTGATTTGCATTTCTCTAATGATTAGTGATGTTGAGCAGCTTTTCATGTGCCTCTTGGCCATCTGTATGTCTTCCTTGGTGAAATGTCTATTTAGGTCTTCCACCCATTTTTTAACTGGACTGTTGGTTTTTTGATATTGAGATCCATGAGTTTGTATATTTTGGAGATTAATCCTTTGTCTGTTTCATTTGCAAATATTTTCTCCCATTCTGAGGGTTGTCTTTTTGTCTTGTTTATGATTTCCTTTGCTGTGCAAAAGCTTTTAAGTTTAATTAAGTCCCATTTGTTTTTATTTCTGTTACTCTAGGAGGTGGGTCAAAAAAGATCTTGCTGTGGTTTATGTCAAAGAGTGTTTTTCCTATGTTTTCCTCTAAAAGTTTTATAGTGTCTGGTCTTACATTTAAGTCTTTAATCCATTTGGAGTTTATTTTTGTGTATGGTGTTAGGGAGTGTTCTAATTTCATTCTTTTACATGTAGCTGTCCAGTTTTTCCAGCATCACTTATTGAAGAGGCTGTCTTTTCTGCATTGTACGTTCTTGCCTCCTTTGTCGTAAATTAGGTGCCCATATGTGCGTGGGTTTATCTCTGGGCATTCTATCCTGTACCATTGATCTATATTCTTATTTTTGTGCCAGTACCATATTGTCTTGATTACTGTAGCTTTGAGGTATAATTTGAAGTTGGGGAGCCTGATTCCTCCAACTCCATTTCTCTTTCTCAAGATTGCTTTGGCTATTCGGGTTCTTTTGTGCTTCCATACGAATTGTAAGATTTTTTGTTCTGATTCTGTGAAGAATGCCATTGGTAGTTTGATAGGGATTGCAATGAATCTGTACATTGCTTTGGGTAGTATAGTCATTTTCACAATATTGATTCTTCCAATCCAAGAACATGGTATATTTCTCCATCTGTTTATATCATCTTTGATTTCTTTCATCAGTGTCTTATAGTTTTCTGAATACAAGTCTTTTGCCTCCTTAGGCAGGGGTATTCCTAGGTATTTTATTCTTTTTGTTGCAGTGGTAAATGGGACTGTTTCCTTAATTTCTCTTTCTGATTTTTCATTGTTGGTGTGTAAGAATGCCAGAGATTTCTGTGCATTAATTTTGTATCCTGCAACCTTAAAAAATTCATTGATTAGTTCTAGTAGTTTTCTGGTGGCCTCTTTAGGATTTCCTATGTAGAGTATCATGTCACTGGCAAATAGTGACAGGTTTACTTCTTCTTTTTCAATTTGTATTCCTTTTATTTCTTTTTCTTCTCTGATTGCTATGAATAGGACTTCCAAAACTATGTTGAATAAGAGTGGTGAGAGTGGACATCCTTGTCTTGTTCCTGATCCTGGTGTAAATGCTTTCAGTTTTTCAACATTGAGTATGATGCTTGCTGTGGGTTTGTCATATATGGCCTTTATTATGTTGAGGTAGGTTCCCTCTATGCCCATTTTCTGGAGAGTTTTTATCATAAATCAGTGTTGAATTTTGTCAAAAGCTTTTTCTGCATCTATTGAGATGATCATATGGTTTTTATTCCTTAATTTGTTAATGTGGTGTATCACATTGATTGATTTGTGTATATTGGAGAATCCTTGCATCCCTTGGATAAGTCCCACTTGATCATGGTGTATGATCCTTTTAATGTGCTGCTGGATTCTGTTTGCTAGTATTTTGTTCAGGATTTTTGCATCTATGTTCATCAGTGATATTGGTCTATAATTTTCTTTTTTTTTTTTGTGGTACACGGGTCTCTCACTGTAGTGGCCTCTCCCGTTGCGAAGCACAGGCTCCGGACACGCAGGCTCAGCGGCCATGGCTCATGGGCCTAGCCGTTCTGCGGCATGTGGGATCTTCCTGGACCAGGACACGAACCCGTGTCCTCTGCATCGGCAGGTGGACTCTCAACCACTGCGCCACCAGGGAAGCCCCTATAATTTTCTTTTTTTGTAATATCTTTTTCTGGTTTTGGTATCAGGATGATGGTGGCTTCATAGAATGAATTTGGGAATGTTTCTCCCTCTGCAGTTTTTTGGAAGAGTTTGAGAAGGATGGGTGTTAGCTCGTCTGTAAATGTTTGATAGAATTCACCTGTGAAGCCATCTGGTCCTGAACTTTTGTTCCTTGGAAAATTTTTAATTATGGTTTCAATTTCATTACTTGGATAGGTCTGTTTATAGTTTCTAATTCTTCCTGGTTCAGTCTTTCCAAATTGTACATTTCCAAGAATTTGTCCATTTCTTTGTGGTTGTCCATTTTATTGGCATATAGTTGTTTGTAGTAGTCTCTTGTAATCCTTTGTATTTCTGCAGTGTCAGTTGTGATTACTCCTTTTTCATTGCTAATTTTATTGATTTGCATCCTCTCCCTTTTATTCTTGATGAGTCTGGCTAAGGGTTTATCAATTTTGTTTATCTTCTCAAAGAATCACCTTTTAATTTTATTGATCTTTGTTATTATTGTCTTCATTTCTATTTCATTTATTTCTGCTCTGATATTTTTGATTTCTTTCCTTCTAATGACTGGGTTTTCTTCTCTTTCTCTAGTTGTTTTAAGTGTAGGTTTAGATTGTTTATTTGAGATTTTTCTTGTTTCTTGAGGTGAGATTGTATTGCTATAAACCTCCCTCTTAGAACTGCTTTTGCTGTGTCCCATAGGTTTTGGGTTGTTGTGTTTTCATTGTCATTTGTTTCTATGTATTTTTTAAATTTCTTCTTTGATTTCTTCAGTGATCTCTTGGTTATTTAGTAGTGCACTGTTTAGCCTCCATGTATTTGTGTTTTTTACAATTTTTTTTTCCTGTATTTGATTTCCAATCTCATAGCATTGTGGTCAGAAAAGATGCTTGATACGATTTCAATTTTCTTAAATTTTCCAAGGCTTGATTGTGACCCAAGATGTGATCTATCCTGGAGAATGTTCCATGTGCACTTGAGAAGAAAGTGTATTCTGCCACTTTTGGGTGGAATGTTCTATAAATATCATTTAGATCTATCTGGTCTATTGTGTCATTTAAAGCTTGTGTTTCCTTATTA